GTTCAGGGGTTAAGGGTTTGGGGCTTAAGGGTTAAAGGGTTTAAGGGTTTAGAGGTTTAAGGGTGTAGGGTTTGTGTGTTTAATGGTTTAGGGTTTAAGGCTTTATAGGTTCTAACAATTTTAGGAGAGCTTCCGAACAAAGCGCTCAATCGAAACACATTCGAGGAGCAAGCAATCGCACCCACAACCATCCATCCATCCATCCATCCATCCATCCACATACGTTTTACTACCTATTATAACATATAGCAGCATGTTGCAACACACTGCAATATCTTGCGCTGTAACTCAATACGCATGTCACGTAGCAAACTACTTCAAAGATCGCTGGGCTATATTATGCTATGGAACCCCAAAACCCTCTTCTACTTCATGTATAGGGCCCCTACCACTACTTCGGTTGATGATATAAATCCTGCATGACCCATAGTAAGGAATATACCAAAATTCCCATAGGTTAGGGTCCTTAAGGTAGGATTTATATCATCAACCCTAAACCCTCATAGATCCCTTACAGGAACCCCTTAAAGGTAATTACACTCTTATAGATCCCTTTAAAGGAACCCTAGGGATATATATCATCAACCTTAAACCCTGAAACCCTATAGATCCCTTAAAGGAGTCCCCTTAAAGGGTATTCTCATAGATCCCTTTTAAGGAACCCTAGGCACTACTTCCAGCATCGTTGAGGTGCCAGGGCTGCCACGGCTGCTGTACCTGCCGAGGGTCCCAGGGTGTCGGTGTCTTTTTCGGTTTCGCCAGATTTCTTAGGGGTACCTAGAATCACGGTTTAGGGTTTAGGGTTTAGGGTTTAGGGTTGACCTAGAAATACTTTTTAATTTTTAGTTATTATAATCCCCAAGAGACAGCTAAAATTATTATTGTTGCTAGGGTTCTAAGTTCAGTGTAGGTTTTCCCCGGGTGAAGCGGCTTTACAGGGATTCCATTCCGTAAGGCTTGACGGGGTTTATAGGGCTTCGAACTTTGGGATTTACTGCATGGCTTTTTGGGCTGAAGGGGTCTTGGGGTTGGGTGTAGGGTGTTGGGCTGGAGAACGTAATCTGCAGCTCCGCAAACCTCCTACGGCCCTGCGGAGGGTACACGAGAAGCGCCTTGAGCAAACATGGTTGCAATTTGGTCTCGCATCCTTGAGGACCAAATGATCCTTAACAGTAGGGACCCGGTACCCTTATACTATGAATCCTTACATGATACATGAAGCTTAAACCCTTTTAGGGTTCACTTCGTCTTTAAGCATTGAAGCAGTCTCGGGGCGACATGAGCTGCCCTCTGCACGACACCATAGTCCGGGCTCACGGTTTAGGGTTTAGGGTTTAGGGTTTAGGGTTTAGGGGTTTAGGGTTTTAGGGGTTTAGGGTTTAGGGTTTAGGGGACTAAATTGGATATCAGCCAAACCGAAATTAGAATCAAAACCTTTCCGGACCGCAGTCATGTGTCACCTTTTAGGGTTTGGTGTTTAGAGTTGATAACCGGGTTCCTGAAAGAGCGTAAGGCCACAAGCCTGTGTGTCGCACTGCTCATCCATACCTTCCCACAGCTTCTTCGAATAGCATACTTGCATAAGGACCAGGGAAATAAACTCAGCCATACGCCGTAGTACGACACGACCAAACCAAATCACAAGGACCAAATGCCGGTAGACCGCTACAAAATGGACCTATCGAGGAACCAAGACAAACCTATGTCAAACCGCCATTCCATCCCCAGGAAGAGAATGCTGAGGACCCACGCAAAGCACTAAAGGTGATACGCTCTATCCCAAAACCCGAAAAAGTTTTGCTGGCTGACTTTTCCCGATCACCTGATGTTGCCAAGGCCGTGGATGCCCAGGTGCCTGGCGGGGCTGGTTCTCAGAGACTGTTATCATGGAAGGTTACGTTGATAAGTCAACAGGTTTGTCGGGGCTTTGGCGGCTTTTTACAGGTGTTGCAAGGGCTGTCGGGGGTCTCATACCGTTTGATGTTAAACAAAGGTGGTCGTACAGAAGTCTGAGTAATTACCCATATTGTGCTTTAGGGTTTCTTATATCAAGTCTAATTCAAGTCTACCACAATATACCGAACAACCCTATTCCATTTCTTAAGGCCCTTATATGATCGAGCCCGTGTGTTAATGGCCGCTTGCCTGAATTGAAACCTTAGGCTCACGGTGTTCGTTTTTGGGGTTCTATTAACGGTAACCTTGAAAGGCATTTAGCACTTAACCCCAAACCCTTAGAGCAACGCTTGTAAGAGCCCTTCACGGTAACCGTTCAAGGCATTTAGGACCCTTTGGCTGCGGCAGGGCCATCGCCAAAGTCAGCCGGTGGCTGCCCAGACGTTTCCTGCGTCGGAGGAGGACTCGTCTTCGGGATCCGATAATGTAGGGAGGGCCTTTGTCAGGGTTCCTTTAAAGGGGTCTATAAGGTATAAGGGATCTATTAGGGTACGATAATACTATAATAATGTAGGAGCCTGAATAAGAGACCCTGGGCCTATAACCCCAAAATAGTAGGGTTCATATAGGAACCCTGATAATAATACAGGCCCAAGGTTTCTTAATCAGGCTCCTAATTAGGGTTCTACAGGGAGTTATAGGGCTCCTTTACCTGAGCCTTGAAACGGTTGATGATATAGATCCTGCATTACCTTAAGGACCCTAAACTATGGGAATTAGGGTATAATTCCTTATTATGGGTAATGCAGGATTAATATCATCAACCGAAGGAACCCCTCAAGGCTTATTTTGGAAGTTGTTTTGGTGTTTCTGTTCTCTAGGGTTGTACAGGGTTTCGGGCGTAGAGTGCCTCACTTTAGGGTGTTGTTCCAAAAGTTCTAGAGGGTTCCAGACGATTTGGTAGGGTTCGTTCAAGGATTCCTTTGAGAGCTTGCAAGGTTTAGGGGTGCCGGCCCTGCAAAGTTTTCGAAACCCGCTATAAATCCTAAGCATCCTTCCAGCCTTGATTTGAGGACGTTCCAAAAGCCCAGAAAGCCCCATAACTAAATCCGCACTTATAAACTCTATAGATCCCGATAGAATCCAAAAAAGAAACCTTTCAGGATCTCGTAAAGGAGCCCTATAAACTTCGAAAGTTCTATTGCGTTCCTTTGGGAACCCTTTCTATTGCTGAGCTCCTGCATCGCTCCCTAAACCCGAAACCATCTAAGTACCTAAACCCTAGACCCTAAGCCATCTAAGCCCTAATCCCTAAACCCTAAACTATCTAAACCCGAAGCCCTATAAACCCTAAACCATCTAAGTAACTAAACCCTGAACCGTAGAACCATAAGCCCGACAACCCTACACCTTGAACCCCGAACCCTGCGTAACTCCTGCGTCGAGCCCTAAACCCAAAGCCCTTCCCGCGTAACCCCGTAAACCCATAAACCCCTGGACACTCAACCTTGGACCTTAAGCCCTAAACCCGAAACCCTACTATGAACCTATAGATCGCTCCGTGGACCCGAAACGATCTAACCCCGAAGCCCTAAAGCCATAAGCCTACTATAACCGTAAACCCCTTTATAGAGCCCGTTTAGATTCCTTTATAGGGCCCCGAAAGGAAACCCAAACAACCAAACCCCGAAACCCTGAAGCCCTAAACCCTAAACCCCTAAACCCTAAAACCCTAAACCCTAAAACCCTAGACCCTAAACCCTATAAACCCCCAAAACCCAAACCCCTTTTGAGGACCCTCTCTCCTGCGGAGCTCCTGCGTCGATCCCAAAACTCCGAGCCCGTCGTCTTGCGGCCTCGGAGAGAAAGAGACCGGAAAGCGAGAGGAAAAAATGGACGGGGTTGATGGGGTATTCTGGGGTTAGGGAGATTGTGGGGTTTAGGGTTTATATGGGTTTAAACGGGTTAGCTTGGGTTAGAGTCCGGAAAGGGAGGAAAAAGACATAAACAGGCTTTTGGAATTAGGGTTTAAGGGTATGGGGGATTAGGGTTTAGGGCTTTAGGGGCTTTGGGGTTTAGGGGTTTTACGGAGAGGACAAGAAAGGAACAGGGTTTAGGGTTTTCAGCTTGTTCTTTTGGTTTCTAGAGTCTAGTCCAGGGTTTTGGGTTTAGTTTTGGGTTTTGGCTCAGGGCTTTGAGACCGTGAAGGGAGAGGAAAAGAAAGAACAGTGTTAATAGGTTAGGGTCTTGGGGTCTTAGGGGTTTAGGGTCTTGGGGTCTTAGGGGTTTAGGGGTTAGGGGTTAAGGGGAATAAGGGTTTTTGAGCTTAGGTGTTAGGGTTGAGGGTTTAGGATGTTAGTAGGGTTAGAGATCGGAACGTGGGAGGAAAGCACTCTCGGCCCGGGATATGTTTAAGGGTTCCTTTATCAGGGACACTGCAGGAATTCCTCTAAGGGTGTTGTGGGGCCTGGGGATCGCCCAGAGAGTAGTTGGTTACTGCATGGTTGCTATCAGGGTTCTGTAAGGGGATCGGGGAGCAACACTTCATCCCCGAGCTTATACGGGTTTAGGGGCTGTGAATGCACGAGGCCCCTTGAAATAATTCGGGCCCTAACCGTCCGAGTACTAAATAATCATATACTTATACTCTCCACAACACTAACACTAACTTAGCCCTAAACCCTAAACCCTAAACCCTAAACCCTAAACCCTGAACCCTAAACCCTGAACCCTAAACCCTAAACCCTGAACCCTAAACCCTAACCCTAAACCCTACCCCTAAGCTTCCCTAAACCCCAAGCCCGGAACTCTAAATTGGGTCTACCGGGCCTGGGGCTGAAAAGCCCAAGCCCTGAAACCTAAGCCCGGAAACCGAAACCAGAGGCCCAAAGCCGAAACTGCTCGAACCTGGTATCATATGGGAGTTTCCGGAAAATAGGGGAGCCTAATATAGTACTCTAAATTGTAGGATGCTGATATAATGTATCCCTATTTTGCGGAAACTCCCATATAGCCCCCCTAAGCGGCACCCTCAAAGACACCGAAACCATCCTCGTCGGCAGGTGATTTACATTGCGCCTTTGAAGGCCCTGGCACGTGAGCGCATGGAGGCCAGGCCCTTTTAAAACCCTTCCAAGACCCGTACAAAATTCTAGAAAGCACTGTAAACAGTTCCAAAGCAACTTATAACAGCCATTTAAACCCATGTAAGGCCGCTGTAAACCCTAAAACACCCTTGTAAAGCCCTTAAAACCCATACATCAACCTTGTAAACGCATTCCCCCCCACCTTAAACCCTAAACCCTAATCCCAAACTTCCCTAAACCCTAAACAGCAACCTTGCAAAAGCATTCCCCTGCAAGATGCTCAGGATTGGGAAGAGCGCTTTCAGAGGCAGTGCTCGCCTTGGCATGCCAGAGTTGAGGGTTCGGGTTTCCTTTTAGGGCGCTGTAATGAAGGTTTTTAAACGGATTCTGGAAGGGTTTGTGTTTAGGGTTTACTGGGTTCAGGTTTAGTGTGGTTTAGGGAAGGGTTTGGGATTTTGGTGTGTTTAGGGCTTGATAACCTGCTCAACAGATCAAATTGCGAACATTTTGCACTCTTATCTGAGAGCGGTGCTAAAATATAACGTTGTTTCAGGGCTATCATGATAGGATTGCTATACTATGTCATAAGATAGATTGGTTTTCAGGCTCTATGTTGGGGATGAAGGGCCCCAGAGATATAGAGCTCAGGTCTTGAGGGCGCTAGGCTTGCATAGTCTATCATGTTGCATGGGCTTCTGGGGTTGAGGTGTGATGGCCCTGAGGGGTTTTTGATAGCAGCTTTGTTGGTTTTGTGAGAGGTTACTTGAGCATTACAACGTTAACCGATACTTGGACATGTAGTGTAGGGTGTAGGGTTTAGATTTCCTTCTTACCTATAGTCTCCATTGTAGCTCCTTTTTTGGATTAACCAGTTTTATATTAAGGATCCTAAAAGGTAACCCCCAAAAAGGAACTACAATGGAGACTATAGGTAATTTTCCAGGTGCAGATTTCGGCACAGTGGTTCCCTGGTTTCTGGACGTTTATGGAGGGTTGCTTTAGGACTAAACAGAAGCCCAGAGATCCCAGTACCCCTTAATTAATTAAGGAAAATAGCTTAAGCCATAATATGAAGGCCCATAACGTTTAAGGTATATCCCCTAGTTATAAGGGATATTGGGAGCTCTGGAAGGTCTTCCCAATGCTTGTCGGGTCAGGATGTGTCTGTTTACCATGAATGGATCAAGCTCTTCTTTCGGGGCCTCTCGACCTTTATGGTCAGAGCGGTCCAACAAAATGATACCTCAGCAGGAGCCCTGATTGGGTCAGGATTTTCGATTTCCCGGACAGAGGGGCGAGGTGTTGGTGCACAGCGTCCTTCAAGCTCTGCCGCCTCGCGCAGGAGGAGCGGAAGGTGTGTATACACCGATGGGCCTAGTCACCGTCCTCCGATTCAAGCGCCTAGGGTGTTCTTTCATACGATCCCTTTTCAGTGCTTTCAGCACAGTGGCAGGAGAGCGAGGGGTGTTCCCCTATACCTCATGAACATCTACAGGCACGAACGAAGAGGACCTCGAGGTGCAAAGGATGTCAGCGACTCGCGTGGTCCGTCGGCGACGGGGGATTCGCTCAAGTGGATCAGGAGAATTTTGCGTGTCTTCTTATGCTCTCTAATATATCCTAGCGATGAGAAGTTCCATCAGACAACGCCCGATAACCCCCCCAAAACTCCAAACCCCAAGCCGAGAATCTCCGTGAGCATTCGCAGCAAATCCATGAATCTCTGTAAGTATACATGTGATCCCAAACCCTACAAAATAGTAGGTTATGACCCCTGAAATAGACGGTAGAAACTTTAAAACGGTAGGTTTTTGGATTCCCAGGTAGGCTCCATTCCCCCGAGCCGAACTTTACTGCGATCCCGGAACCACATAAATTGGTGCCTTGATCCCGAGTCTCAAGGATCCACCAACCCCCAAAACCTAAAAGCACATTTATCCATGTAGTATGTATATACTTTGACCTTAAGAAGGTACCTACATGCAGGTGAAGCTTTCGCATGCACATGTACATATTACAGCTTTGGCTTTTGTTTTATATTGGTACAAAGCCACCCAGGAGCCATTCAATATAACCCTAAACCCTACATGCCCTGATCCACGAACTCTGTTCTGGTAACCCAAAGTAGTTACATTCTTGGAGAAGAACCCGAACCCTAACCCCCTAAACTCAAAACCCCTAAACCCTGAACCCCTAAACCCTTAAAAGAGCAACCGAACACGGCTGCTTTGCGCAATTCTGAGGCTGGGCAAAGCCGTGGTGGAGTTGACAGGCGACTTCACTCCAGACGTCGCCTCCTTGGTCCGTAAGGATTTACCACGAGATAAGGGTACTTTAAAGGGTACTATGAGGGGAGTATACGGGTACTCTTCGGGGTAATTAAGGATCTACCAGGGGTCAACAAGCAAGCACAAATGCGTTTTGTTGAGTGTTGTTTTTAGTTTCGGCTTCGGGACTTTGTTCTTACGGAGGATGTGGGGTGGAAGATTTGGGCGTTGGGTTGGGATTTTGGATATGGGATGACTTAGGACTCAGGGTTCTTAGTCTTAGAGCCCTAGTTAGATTCAACCCCGAACCCCTCAAAACTCACTCGAAGTCTCGAAAATGGCGCCGAGACGGAACCATGTCCGAACACAAATTTACACTACTCCACCCCAAACCCCGAAGCCCTAAACCGTTGAACCGCAACCCTAACCCCCAAACCCTCTACCCTAAACCCTAAATCGCTGAACCCCAAAGCCTTATAGCCTTGTCTTTCTCGTGCATCTGAGATCGATGCCCTGGAGCGTGCCGACGTAGTGGCCAGAGCCTCATGCAGGGGGTTGAGGGTGTATATTAGGGTTTAGCATAATCCCTCTGTTTGGTATAGACTGTTAGAAGGTTGTTGGAGTATCCATCTCCTGTTGTTTTAGGAGTTCTTCATGTGTCAAAAGGGGAGGGTTTAAGGGCCTGGGAACAGAGGTTTTCGCAACTTTGATGCAAGTTGTATAAGGGTTCTGGCTTACAGGTTCACTTGGACGTTCTCTTGACTTAGTGAGTTGGGTTGTCAAGATAGGCCCTTGGGATGTGGCCAAATATTTTGGTACCAAACCCTAAGGCGCCATGTGCCCATATAGTAGGTACTCAGGCCTAAAAGGGGTCCCTGTATGGCTACTTTAAGGCCTAAGTACCTACTATATGGGTACATGGAGAGCATTTGCACCCTTAGGGCACCGCATCCCCGCGGCCCCAGGGCTTCTTGCAATTATGCGCACCTTAATGTTATGGAGCTCTTATAGGTAAGGATGCTATCATGTAGGCGTCCCTTGCTTTCGAAGACTGACATGTGCTTCTTGGCAGCATCCCGCTGAGAGCATTTGTGACCCAAGAAACCTTCGCGGAAACTCTGAAAGACGTATAGCTATACCCCAAAAGCCTTCTCCTATGATTATACCGATCCCTTCTAGAACCCGTATAGAACCCTGTGTGGTAATCCTGGAAGGGACCCTTTTCAATGAATGCACCCAGGTCACAACCCCCGAGAAGTGGGACGGCATCTCACGACATTGGCAGCACCGAGCGTACCGCTCTAGGTGAAGTTTAGGGTTTAGGGTTTAGTTTGAACAAACTGTTGAATTGTCTGAGTCTTGGCTTCACTCATACATTCGTAGCATAGAGCCCCCAATAACCGATAATTGGAAATACCATGCGTCAGGGCTGCTACCCCAAAACCATGAATTGGCCCAGCTGTCCAGTGCCCCATATTCGCGTCCTAGCTTGATATATGTGTTGCACAGCATTTCGCACTGCGTAGTCAGACAAAGTCAGACCGAATTTATGTCATTGGGTAGTTTTAGGATTTCAGGCTTCAGAGTCTCAAGGCTCAGGATATTGGTTTCGCACTGTTGGAACCTACAGGTTTACGCATGTTTCCGACTGGAAAGAGTGAACCACAGCAACCTGAACAAACTAAGGACAAATAACTATATCATGGCTTGAAGGGCTTTTTTAAGCTATTTAGACTAAGCCCTGAACCCCGAAGCCAAAGCCCTAACCCTAATCCCTATAAGCCCCAACCCTATTCCTCCAAACCGAAGGATATCGGAGGCTTCAAAAGGTGGGATGAAGGTAGGTGGGATATTTCCAAATAAGAGTCCTTATATAAGGGATCCTTTATCCTACCTACTTTCATCCCACCTTTTGAGGCCTCCGAGGATAAGAGCAACCGGATGCCGAATTTGCTAAACAGTTTGGACTGATGCTGTCGATTCGAAGCACCTCTTTGAGTGCTGCATATGGGATTCCCAAAGAGATCCCAATATCCCTTAATTAAGGAATATACCTCAAATTATAGGGGGGCCTTCACCTTGTGGTGTAAAGTATATTCCGTAATTAAGGGGTATTGGGATCTCTGGGAACAACCCTTATCCCCGAAGTTTGCCTCTTTAAGGGGTTCGAGTTCTTTGTGATGATTTTTTCCTTTGCAAAGTCCCGAGGTAAAGCCCGAAACCACCGTAAACTGAATGTGCCGAGCGCAGCCGGGGATTGCAGACTGAGCCCTATACGACCTACCTCAGTTGGGTGTACTTGCAGTTTTGGGGGAGATGTTGGGTTTTGCAGATTAGAGGTTTGTTTGGCTTCTGTGAGCCTCAACGCAGCCTGAAGCAGTATACAGAACGCTAGAGTCCCAAAATCCCTGAAACCCGGCTACAACCTACATAGAGTATCATTTGAACCCTAAACCAAAACCCATACCCTACAACCAGTTGAACCCTAAGCCTAAGCCTATAAACCCTACAAGCCTAAACCCCAAACCCTATAAATCCAAGCCTTAAACCCTACGACCCTACAACTCTACAACTCTACAACTCTACAACCCCAAAACCCTAAGCCACAACCCCACTTGGAGGATCAGGGGACTTAGTAAGTGAAGGTTCTAATTAGCTTAATTGGGGTTGTAAGTGTAGTTGCCCTAATTATAACCCTAGTGACTAAGTCCCATGATCCTTTTAGTAGACCCTAAGCCCCAGCCCCCATAGATCCCTTTAAGGAACCCTATAGATCCCTCTAAAGAGCCCTTTAAGGAACCCTAGTTACTAAGTCCCATGATCCTTTAAGTAGACCCTAGACGTAGATCCCTTCAAGGAGCCCTGTAGATCCCTCTAAAGAGCCCTTTAAGGAACCCTATAGAGACACTAAGTCCCATGATCCTTTTAGTAGACCCTCACGTAGATCCCTTTAAGGAACCCTATAGATCCCTTTACAGAGCCCTAAGTCCCATGATCCTTTAAAGTAAAGCAAGGTACGTGAGGAAGGTGGGTCTGGTCATCATCGACGAGATCCACCTCTTGGGGCAGGCCTGAAACCCTGAAAATGTGTAGGGTTTAAGGCCTTAAGGTTTGAGGGTTTTTGGGGTTAGGGTTAGGGTTTTAGGGTTGTAGGGTTCAGGGTTTAAGGTTTGGGGCTTTGGGTGTAAATTCTGTACGGTTTAAGGGGTTTGAGGTGCAGGATTTGGGATTTATGGTTTATGGGTTTAAGGTGTAGGCTTTGGGGTTAAGGATTTGTGGTTTATGGTTTAAGGCCAAAGGTGTAAGATTTGGGTTTAGGTTCAACGAGACTCAAAAGGCACAAGCTGATGTCCTGATCCCTAGAAGTCCACAGAGCACGCAGGGGCCGAATGCTGGGCCTTGTCAACCCTAAACCCTGAACCTCAAGGGTCCAGGGATGTTGTAAATAGCCCCAAGGCTCCATGGACCTTTATCCTACATACTTCGGTTTTACAGTCCCTATACAGGTACTTCAAGCCACAAGTACACATTCTATGAGCCTTACGGTGGGTATCTGGGTTTAGGCTTCATAGTCGTTGTGCAGGCTAGTATTTGGCGCTTTGCAACCCACAGCTAGAAACCCTAAGCCCTATTCCCTGCACCCCGGCCCGATCAACGAGCTGTCAATTTCAAAAGCCGCCAGCGCTAGTTCCTTACTACAGTTGTATTTAGTATACCCCTTACCTTGGTCATGCAAAGACCTGCTGTTTTAAGGATTGTACTTGTGCCTTATAGTTACGGGGTCGTAACCTACCCTGTTGTAGGTTGGAGGCTACAGGTAGGGCAAGTTACTATAGGGGCCTTCATGATTACAATTTTCTCTTTGTAATTATATATACCCCAAAACCATATTTCTAATTATGCAGGCCCTTAAATCCCTTATAGAGCCCTTGTAGTATCCCTTAAAGGAACCCTTTAAAAGGAACCCCATTTCTAATTATTCAGGGCCGTATGTGCATGCCTCCTTGAGGATCGTGGGCCTGTGCTGGAAGTCATTGTGTTCGGGCCCCGGTTTCGGGTTGAAAGTGTGGGGTTTGAGGTTTTGGGTGTTTGCGGGTTTGGGGGCTTACAGTGTAGGGTTTGGGGGTTTGGGGTTTGGGGGTTTGGGGGTTTAAGGTTTTGGGGTTTGGGGGTTTTGGAGGTGTAGGGTTTGGGGTTGATGTTGTAGGGCCTTTTGTTGGAGGAGGGTTTGGACTTTTATTCTATTCCAGACCTTTGGACTGAAACCAATGAATGTTATTTTCGGTTTGGAGCATGCTTCTACGATGTGAGCGAGGTTTCTGCTCCAGACGGCCTTCACTGTTTAGGGACGGTACTCTGTTAGACTTCAGCTTTAAGCTTTTGCTCGCTCCATGGGCGAATGACACGGCGACTGTGAGTGAGTATCACTCGGGGTACGGAGTGGTGCAGTGTCCATGTACCCATATGGCATATACTTTGGGCCCAATGAAGCTATGTAGGGAGTACTTTAAGGCCAATGTATATACTCTATAAGTACATGGACCCTAAAACCCTAAACCATCCTAAACCCCTATAGAACCCTTATAGTAGACCCTCAACGGAACCCTTAAAGGAACCCGAGATGTTTAGATGGACCCTTAGGGAGTATTTCTACGAGAGCTCGGAGGCAGTGATCTCTTGAAGAGCGGATTGGGCTGGACTCGCTGGATTTCTGAGTCTATATGGTGCTTGACCCAGGGCCCCGGGAGGATCCAAGAAGTAGGTCCCTTAATGGGGGGCCGGGGGGTTCCTATAAACTACGCTTAGTAGTACAGGGCCCCAAATTACTCCCGGGGGTCTTGGTGAGTGAGGTGTAAGCGGACTGATATTGTTGAGAGGTTACTTATCAGTCACAGAATTATAGTCATGCTAGTGAATCTACAAGGGCAACGTGCGACCCTGACTCCAGGAAACCACCTTCGTTTAGTCCAAGGTTTAGACTCGGAGTCTTTTGGTTGGGACTAGGCAGGACGCTGATGGGAACGCTCTTTAGTAGCAGGGTTGTCGAGGCGGCAGCACAGACCCGGCGGCGAACTTGCAAAATGGGTGGTTGTCAAAATTAGGGGTTTAAAGGGTTTAAAGGGTCCTTATTAAAATACAGCACCTAATATTTAGGATACCCAACAAGGGACCCTAATGTTGACAACCACCCACAATTGTAATTCACAGCAAGTGTGGACGAGGTGCACGTCAAAAGTGTTCGATGCACAGGGTTCAGGATCCTGAAGGCACCTTACCTGTCCATATTATCCCCAAAAACATGTACGGTGGCACGGTCTCGAGGCAATGATCCTGGAGTGGGCCGTTTCCTTGAAAGAGCACGGGGTGTGGCGCGAGGGCGCCGATGCGCTCGTGATGGCACGGCAGGTGGAACAAGCGTGCCGCCATTTGCTTGCCCCGCCTTCCTTCCGGGCCCAGAAACGAGCTCCGTCCCGAAAGCTACCGAAGCCCTGGCACACATCGTGGGCGGCTTTCCCTGCCAGAGCGTTTCCCTCTCAGGCAGGCCTTCAGGAGCGGGCTGGTGTCGCATGTCTACCGGGAGCTTAACCTGTGTCCTCAGTTCTGCAGCATAACGGAGCTGTTTAGTATACAAACATTGAACTTGCCAGAGTTGCTGTCGGGTCCAACTAAACGAGGGTCGGTTTGAAGATGTTGTTGATTGTGGTTTGGGCTTCAATAGGAGATGAAATAATCGGCTTTTAGGAGCTTAGAGTAGTGCGGCCCCATGCATCCCCAAGCCTTTGAACCAAAAACCTTATTTCCCTAAGGGTCCATGTGCCCAAATAGTATATGCATTGGCCTTAAAGTACTCCCTATATAAGTACATTGGGCCCAAAGTCTATACTATCTGGGTACATGGAACCTTAGGGTTTTTCACTGAGCAGTGAACTCTGAAGCCCAGGCCCTTTGGATTTTGGACCAAGCATTGCTGTAGGTATCGGAGTTTACGCGAAGTCGAGCGCGTACCGGCGTTTGCTCCTTGATACGTCCGGGCCTGGAAAGCAGTATGGCAAGATCGTGGCGCGAAGTACCACACTGTCTGCTCTACTAGTACTCCTACAAACAAATATCACGGAAAGACCTGGTGAATAGCGCTCCTTCAGCTTCCCATAGGGTTGTCATCGGAATTCAACCTTTCGGGCCCTTCCAAAGGCGGAAGGCTTGTTGATAGGGTTTAGAGTTTTAGGGTGTCAGGCCACAAGAAACCTCAACAACCCTTCATCAGCAAACGAAGCCCTTGTAAACTGTGAAAAGAATCTTCAAGCACTTATACACTAGCCTCACACCCTATACCCGTGAACCTGCAAACCTTAAGCCCTAAACCCTTATGTATACCGTTACTCCTGACCCTAAACCCTACAACTCTACAAGTCCCAACTACACTCGTCGATCTGCCAAGTGGACAGTTATCAAAACCTGATCCGAGAGCCCTTGAATCCTAGACCGTACCAAGAGAGCCCAATAGCCCTGAACAAAGGAATGCACATTAAGATTTTATGGGGCTTGCTTGAATTGGGGTATATTGCTTAATTGAGGGGGCAGTGGGCTCTCGGGCGAAATCTGGAATCTCAAGGCCTTTTCGAGGCAATCAAACGATTTCAGAAATTCCAGCCACCAGGTCTCGAATGCGATACATCTCCTGCAACCTGGATAAGGCAGGCAACTGAGTCACCTTTAAGGGGCCAGGGTCGTAGGGTTTAGGGTTAGGCCTTCTGGGGCCTTTGACTTCAACTCCAGGGTTTGTTGGAAGATCTGTTGAGTCGGAGGTGCTTGTCTTCGAGTCGAACAGATATGGGAGTTTCCGAACATAGGGGACCATATCAGAGTACCAAAAATAGTAGGACCCTTATTAGAAGGACCCCAGAATAAGGTGCCCCTTAATTTTCGGAAACTCCCATATGTTCAGTGGAGCCTTGGAGCAGCCACACATACACTTAGTGTGTGGTTCTACACACGTTGCCCGCTGCCAGGATCAGGGCCCTCAGATGCTCCCTCTGTGTTCACCAGTCGCGCAGCATAAAGCAGGAGTTGAGAACTGGAGGGCATGCCACTACACAGTTGCTGGTGGATTCCGAACTGCTGCTTGCACCGTTGGGCCGAATGACATCAAACTCAAGTCTCTCCCTTGGGCTGCAGGACGTATGTCCAAAGCTTAGCAAAGCCTGATACAACATCCTACAACCAAGAATCTCCTTCAGGCCATCCGTTTCGTTGGCCTCAGCACGGCGCGGCACTCAGAAGTCCGATAGAGATTTGTTGGATTTCCGTTTGGTGCTCCTAAACACTGGTTCCTCAACACTGTTTTGATGCCGCGGATTTGGGGATTGGGCTGTAGACAGCTTTTGTGTTTTTGTTGTTTTCGGGTTTTGTGGTGCCAGTTTCGGTGATGAGGCTTTGGTGGTGTAAGTTCGGGTTTAAATTGTAGGGATTTCGTTCCAGCACTTGCTGTTCCGTATTTGATGTTAAGGGTTTCCTGCGTTCGCAGCCGAAACTTTGCGGAGCCTGCTCCTTAACTCTGAACCCTAAAGAGCCCACCCTTTTAGGGGTTCCCTATTATGATCTTCTTATATATGTGCTTACAAAATCAGGCCTTGGCCAATGCCCACGACATTGCGGACTGGCTCGGCATTGGTATCGTCGCTCGATTCAATCTCAGGGCCCAAAGATCTGACAATACATGTGGAGTCTTAATACCATTATACTGGGTGGTGGTCAAAGTTATGGTCCCTTTTGGAGTCCCTGATATAGCACAGCACCTAATATTCACCCCACAATCACAACCCGAAGGAATGGTACTTTTTGCTTTGGAGGATTTTCGACAATAGTCATAAGGAGGAACTCCCAATGGAGAACGTTGCAGGCACCTAATATAGGAGCCGTAATAATTACCTATACGGTGGTTCCCTATGGTAAATAAGTATCAGGGGCCCCTACACCCTATTCTAAATATAGAAGCCCCTATGTTGCATTATTTGCCCCAAACCCTGGATCTAGCGAGCCCCCCCATTTCTTGGAGGCCCTATTGTGTGGACAGGGTCCAGGGTTTATATTGAACCCCAGAAAGTCGGAACATTGATTTAGGATGATTCGTGCGGGGATTCCCTGTACTTTACTTCAAGGGTATGAGGAAAATTCATGTTCCAACTTTCTTTCTTCTCCTGCAGGGCCTATAAGGTCTATACGAGGAAGTCCAAGCAGCGTCGAAGCATCCTACAGCAAGAAGAACAGCTGAAGCCAAGCTGTATAGCCGTTAACAGTCGGTTGCCCCAGTGCGTCGTTGCCCCACTCTGCGCCTTTGCTGGGACAGGGCAGGCAGCGGGTGGGCAGAAGATGTTCCTTAACAGCCAAATGAGCATTGTGCGCAGTGGCCCTGTAAATCCGTACATGGCACCTGAACCTTATGCCCGCTTAGGGCTCATGTGGTCTTTAAACTAAAAGTAAGGTGCAACTCCAAGGTCCATGTGCACATCATCTTCCTCAAGAAGGGTAATCAAACACGACTTGCATCAGCGGCTTCAGCTAGGTACCCGGACCCCTGTCTGCTGAGGTTGGTCTCTACAACTTCAAGCCGTCTGTGAGGCTATGGCATGCTGTCGGAAACAAATTGACAAGCTTAAGGGCTCCCAGAATGACGCGGCATCAAGAAGGGGTCCTTTACAGGGTATTCTGGGGGGTTGCTTGAGCCTACTTGGAGGGGCAGGGGACTTAGTAATTAGGGTACTTAGAACTCTACTTATAGCCTACTTACTAAGACCCCTGCCCCTCCAAGTAGACCACAAGCCCTGAATCCTGGTCCTAAACAGCACCCCCTAGCAACCCTTGAATAGAGGCCTGATGGTCCCCAACAGCAGGTACTCAGGTTCTTATAACGGGTACCCAGAGGCCCTATAGTAGTTCCTTTTTGGGCTTACCTTCTAGAATTCTAAATATGAACCCCAAAAAGGAACTACTTTGGGGCCTTTGGGTAGTCCGAAGTCCCCAACAAGGCTAAACTCTTGCCGAGAGAGCCGTGGTTGGAGAACGACAGATGCGAGTTGCTTTAGGTTGCAGGGTTTAGGTTTAGGGTTTAGAATGTTGGACCAGGCAATTCAGGGATTAGGATCAAAGCCAGAATATGAGGCTTGAGGTTTAGGGTTGTATTTAAACCTCAAGTTTCAAGCCTATATAGCCCCCGCCTCCCTCTGCGGCCTCTCGGAAACGAAGAGCATCCCAAGTTTTCGGAAACTCCCACAACACCTGAGTTCAAGGCTCCAATATTGACTGTGGGGTGCCTTCATGATCAGTTAGACTTTGGTCTGGGGTCTCTTCTATATGTTTATAATATTAAAGAAGCACCAGGAACCCTATTCTACCTATCAAGGCTTCTGACAAAAACCCCAACCCGCCTAAGCCCGATCGGGTTGGTTCGAAAAGCACATTTTTTCTGTGGGCACTGAGGTTTCTGGGAAGAGGTTTTAAGGGTTCATAGAGAGGCCTGATAAATCGGTAAAATGTTGCCCTTATGCTCCCTGTGATGGCTTCAATTAGAGGTACATATTTGTGGTTTGAGGGGGGCCGGTCTGACTGCAAAGCCCCTAACCCAGCCATTCGCGGAGGCCTGTGCCGATGACGGCACACATCCAAGGGTATCCGGAGAAGCACTTTGTCTTCACCTCAGTCACTGTTGGACAGCAAATTTCACTTGGGAAGTAAACCCTGAACCCTAAACCCTTCTGTTCGGCGTTTCCGGGCTGAACCCTAACAGCCCAGGTTTCCGGGAAAGCGGGTTGCTGCCCTTGAGCCACAGCTGCAGGGCCCTACATAGCTCTACGGTTGATGATGTAAATCCTGCATTACCTTAAGGACCCTAAACTATGGGAATTACGGTATATTCCTTATTATGGGTCATGAAGGATTTATATCATCAACAGTAGTACAGTTCTCCACGTTGGTTATGCCATGTCCAGCTATCCCGACCAAGTGACGCTTGCGCGTGGGGGCCCGATGCCCTTGTACTATGAATCCCTGGTAGTAGAAGGTATATGAACATTAGACTCTTTTAGTGTGTCATTTCGTTTGTTAGGATCTGAGCTTCAATGCAAGGCACTTCCCGAAGGGTCTTGAACTCTCACGGTGGGATCCTAAACCCGAGCCGGCAAAGCCAGAAAGCGTGACACCCTTGATGGAGCCTTAGGGTATCCAGGCACTCGAAATTAAGGGGTACTATGCGGGCTTCTTTAAGGGATTCTATAAGGGCTCCTTTAAGGATTACTATAAGGGGTTCCCTTAGGGGCGGTCTTTCTGCCGAGCTGAAGTGAAGGATCTTGCTCGATGGGCCCTGCCCACAACTCTGGAAACGTTTGTAATCCTGCAACACTGTAGCCCTTAATACAAGACACGCCAAACAAACAAAGGATTCTGGATCCTGGTTTTTTGCAAGGCTATCGGTGCAGAGCCCAGCTCGCAATTTCCTCTCCGGCTGGCTTGCGCTGTCAGCGTTGGGAGACAGAACTTGAACCCCAAACCCCCACCCTGAGCCCCACACACCAATACCCCTAAACCCCAAACCCTGGACCCTAGACCCCTCAACCCCGAACTCCTGTAACCATTTTAACAGCTGGCTGCACCACCGTCCAAGGTCGCACGGATGGCGCAGATGAACAAGCCGTGCTTTCATGCGATCAAGAACCACGCCGTGAAGCCGGCCTGAGACCCCAATTTTCTATATTAGGGTTTAGGGCTTGGGGCTTTAATTGGGCTTTCGGTCTAATGTAGAGTGTATATGGCGGTATTTTGAGAATCTCTGTGCGGCTTTCGCGAGAGTGTTTATACAGGTTTGAGTTGCTTCAGTATTCAAAGTTTTTTTGTTCAAGCAAGGCTTCGCTATAAGACATGTGTAAAGGGCGTATTGGTTTGGGAGCTCGGCATTGCATTGACGAGCTGTTTCGTCTTGCGAGCTTTGTGACTGGGCTCCGAGACTATGAACACCCCACTTTCTTGGCATCACTGGAAAGACCTGAAGCACCAGACCTGAAGACCGTTAGCCCTTGACCAATACCCCTGCAATCCCCTGGAAAGAGTTCGACCATAAGTACGTAGATTCACAAGTGCTGTCCAAGGGATCCTAAAAGGAGTCTTTACTTACAACTCTATAAACCAACTACTTACTGAGTCCCCGACCCTCCAAGTGAACCTCAGGTTCTAGATCACAGGACAAGCTTTTGGGCTCCACGCGAAATGCCAATAACTCTAAGGCTCCATGTACCCATATAGTAGATACTTAAGCCCCAAAGTAGTCCCTATATAGGTACTTTAAGGTCTAAGTATCTACTATAAGGGCACATGGAGCCTTAGGCCAAATGCCAGTGATGCGCTGCTGAGGATGGGACCAAGCCCACGCTGATCTTCGTCTCGTCCCGGTCTCTTGGTGGCAGCCATTCCCTAAGGGTCCATGTACCCACATAGCATATACTTTGGGCCCAATGTACCTATATAGGGAGTACTTTAAGGCCAATGTATATACTATATGAGTACATGGACCCTTAGGGATTGGTAATTTTAGGGGCCTCTGTAGCTCTTTACCTACACTATTTTGGGGGTTCGTTATCATAACTATAATAACTATAGTAGAATGGGCCCCGAAACCGTACTCGAATTAGTAAGGTCCCTATCGTATAAACACCGTTGACAGGGTTCTGTCAATAAACCTTTCCAAGACGAGTGCAGCATCCAAGTTCCCCTGGTAGCCGAAGCTTAAGGACCAAATGACCCTGATAAATAGGAGCCCTATACCCTCATACTGTGAACCCCAATAAAGATGTAGATGAACCTTAAGCTCTTTTAGGGTCTGTTTCGCCTCTAGGGAGCAAACCCCGATTGCTGAACCTCTCGGACCCCTCAAGTCCAAGCCATGTCGAGTTTGGGAATGCGACGTCCTTTCTTGCAACACTACTTTCACTGACATGCAGAGAGGTGAACCTGCAACCCCAACAACATAAGCCATGATGGAGCCTTCTAACACTCAAGGCAACAAGGCTTGCGCATTCACCTTTGCTGCTTCACTTTGAAACTCTAAACATTAAAGCTATCTAAAAAACTAAGCCCTACACCTTAGACATTAAGAGCCTCCGTTAGACCCTACCTGAAGAACCTACTTTTTTAGGGTTCCTTATTATGATTTCCTTATATAAGTCTTCAAATCGGTAGGTTATTCCGGGTTAAGGTAAGCCCTACAAGCTTTAAGCCCGAAATCCAGAAAACTGACGGAAAACCCTCGGAGGCGACAGACGCGCCTCACAGCGCTTGACATTGTGGCATTCATGCCGGGCGCTGAAAGCTGTGCATTAGTGGTGGAGTAAGTGGTCTTTTAACCGTTTTGGGGTACGATACGTGTTCTTCTGGAGTTCTATAATCTAAGATTAAGACCAAGGGCCCCTGTGAAATTCTGAAAACTGTGTTTGATTCAGGTCCTGGTTGTCTAAGGTGTTGGGAGGTCGTAGGTTCTGCATCAGGGAAAACTCTTCGACGGAAAGACCTTCATTGTGTTCAACACCGTGTGACAAAGTCCGAATGTATGGGGTCTGAAAAGTTCTCCAAATAATGAGCTTATTGTCTCAATGTGGTAAGTGTACGATAAAATACTCAAAGACAGGGTTCCAATGGTCCCCTACATTAAACTCGTAACCCTGAACCATCGCCCGCCTAAACTCCAAGCCCCCAAACCCCAGCAGCCTAAACTCTTCACCCTAAAACCCATTGACCCTTAACCCTGAACCCCTTGCAAACCCAAAAGCCTAAGACCCAGACCTTAAAGCCTAATAAAACTCTAATCCCCTAAACTTTAACCCCTAAAACCAACCACCCTAAGCCCTAAACCCTAAGACCCTAATCCCTAAACCGCCTTATAAAATGCTGAGGTCGGCGGATCCGGACGAAGATCCTCGGCAATTCTGCAAGATGGAGCCTCACGAGCTTGAGCAGAGCCGACCTGTCTTTGCCCCAAAAGAGTCCTAGGGATCTAAGGACTCATAGGGTGTAAGGGTTTAAGGTTTAAGGGTTTAGGGGTTTAGTTTTGATGATAAAAATCCTGGATCTAAGGACTCATAGGGTTGATGATATAAATCCTGCACTACCCATTATAAGGAATATATGGGAATTATGGTATATTCCTTATTTTGGTTCATGCAGGATTCACATCATCAACCGTAGTCCTTTATGGGTTTATGGTCCTAGGGTTTAGCTTCCTAGGGTTTAGAGTTTAGGGTTTAGGGGTTTAGGGTTTTGGGTTCTGGCTTTGGGGTTTAGGGTTTCAAAGCGAGGGCCCTAGGGTCCGTTAAGGGATTCCTTTAAGGACTTCCTTCAGAGTTCCTTTACAGACTCATAAGGGTTCCCTTTAGGGCTTAGGGTCTAAAAGGGGCCTAGGTTCCTTTGAGGGTTCAGGTTTCTGGGTAATTACCTTTAGGGGCTTTGGGTTTAGGGTTTAGGGTCTAGGAAGGTCCTAGGTACTTTTACGGGTTTAGGGTTTAGGGTTTCAAAGGGTCCTTGGTACCTTTAATGGTGGTATGAGGGTTACTCTCAGGGTTCCTGTAAAGCGCCGACCTGTCTTTTGTAGCTTTGAAAAAAGCTTGGGATGAAGAGGCTGCAAAGTCTAGGATTGATGGTTAAGGATTTTGTGGTTTAGGGTTTAGGGTCAATGCTTGTAAGAGTTTCAGCAGCGGCTTGGAGTGGTAATTGCCAGTTTTTCTTGTAAATGAGGCTTTCGAAAGGCTGTTCTAGGTTTCATGATTGGCGTTGCAAATACCCAACCAAAGCACTTGCGACACCGCAGGTTGGCCTGTTACATGAATCGTCTGACCCTCCACAAAATCCTTACTGCAAGACTAGACCCTAAGCCTAAACCCGTATACCACACCCTAAACCTGATTGGCTCCTTGAGCAAGGCCTGATCGAGATGCTAATCCTAAGCTCTACGCCTGCACTGGCAACCCTACTTAGAGGATCATTGGACTTAGTAAGTAGGTTATAATCGGGGTTATAAGTCCCCTAAGTGAGGCTATCCTAATTATAACCTACTTATAACCTTACTTACTAAGTCCCATGAGCCTTCAAGTACACACCGCCCTAAAGACGAAGCTAACCGCAAAAGGGGTTGGGATCAGGGGCTCGAAGACCGTATATGGGTGGTTGTCAAAATTAGGGTCCCTTTTTGGGTCCCAAATAAAATACAGCACCTATTATTTAGGGTACCTAAAAAGGGGCGTATATACATATAGGCAGTTGTCAAAATTAGGGTCCTTTTTGGGTAACCTAAATATGAGGTGCCGTACTATAATAGGGACCCAGAAAAGGGACCATAATTTTGACAACCACCCATATAGGGAATATAGGGATTCGCATATATGGGTTGAGAGCCCCTACCGTCAAGGGCCGGGTCGTCTGGTCCGTCAGGTCCACACCAGGCCTTGCATCGTGATTAGCCTGAACTGCAGTTTAGGGTGTAGGGCTTAGGGTTTAGGGTTTCCAAACCCTAAAACCCTCAAACCAAACACTTCTGCCCACCCCGAGGCACCCAAAATTCCTTACATTTCGAGTTGATTCGGGGTCTGGTTGTGTTGCGGCAGTCTCCCAAAAGAAGTTGGCCAAGGCGCAAACTCTGAAAATCTTGGACCCAACCCTGAGACCCCAAACCCTCATAGAACCCTGAAAGACAACGGTATAGTAGTGTAGAGTCCTCTACTTGGAGGGTCGGGGGACTTAGTAAGTAGGTAGGAAGTAGACTTATAAGTACCCTAAAAGGGACCCTAATTGGGGTTACGGTACTTATAAGTCCTTAAAATAACCAGTTACTAAGTCCCCCGACCCTCCAAGTATAGAACCCTTACAGCAATGCTTAGGAACCCATGGCAGAAAGCATGAGCTTCGGCGGCCTGCCAGGTATGCCACCCGAAGAGTCCAGGACCAAGTGAAAACGGACGACTACCGACAGGGGTTTGCAGTCAGTAAAGTCTCTTATGGAAGGTCTGGGTAGCTTATGGACGACATGAACCCCAAAGGGCTTCAGGTCAAAATGTCGCCCCTGGCTTCATCGTACAAGGGTATATTAGATCCCCTACTTGAGGAAACAGGCTTTTAGTTAAGTGTCTCAAGGTTCGGAGGTTTAGATCTCTCGAGTTGTATTATGCTTGTGTGGGATTTGTCGAGGGTTCCACTGTGTCTTGTCAATGTGTCTGATATAAGGCCCTACACCCCGAATTCCAAGATAGGCCACGACCGGACATGTCACTGCTCCTGGCAATGCCATATTGGAAGCTTATAAACCGCTTATGAGAATGGTACAAAGAACAAAGTCCGAATCCCAAAACCGGACCACAGTCCTGAAATCAAGCTCTGGACCTTTAGCTTGAAGCAAATCCTACCCAAAGAGTCCAGGCACCGAAATAGTTGGGACCCAGGTCTCAAATACTATACTCTGAACGATTTTTGGTTCTTGAAGCCGTGATATTTCGCACCGGTTAGCCCCTGAACCCTAAGGTCCTAAAGGTGCCTTATACAAGCCCGTAAAGGAAATCTTTTTAACGTCTTACAAGGACCCCTTGATGGAGAATCCAAACAACCGTTAGAAACCGTTTCGATGGATAGAACCCTTAAAAAGATACATTAACAGCCTAAGGCCACTGGCTATTCGAATCCTAAGCCCCGAACTCCAAACCCCCTCCTCCAGACTTGATAAAACCCTAAACCCTAAACCCCTTAACAGAAGACGTAAGAAAACTTCGGATCACCAAAACTCATGCCAACTACGACTCTCGCAACGTCCTTTTCCGTAAAGGAATCCTTACTTGTAAAGGTCACGGACCAGAGCCCTGAATCCTACAGTAGAAGCCAGAAAGTTGGAATATCATTATCGTAACCCCTTTAAGGTAAATTATGGGGGATCCTACCATGAATCCATATTCCAACTTTCTGGAGTTCCCTGTAAAGCCCCTTGTACTTAAAGCATAGGAACCCTTATAGGAAGCCCTTGAAAGGAACACCAAACCCAGAACTTCCAAAATCCCTTAATTCAGGAATATACCTTAAATCATATTAGGGATCCTACGACAATTTAAGGTATATTCCTTAGTTAGGGGATTTTGGAAGGTCTGGGAACCCTAGAGCCTAAGGTCACGGACCAGAGTCTGAAGCACACGCTGGAGTTCGGCATCGGCATTCACCATGCCGGCCTTCCCGAGCGGGATCGCAAGGCAGGGCTTTGGGTGTCGGTGTTTGGATTTGGGGGTTTAGGGTTTAGGCGTTGGGGCGAGATCGCAAGGAAGGCATTCTGGTTTGTAGTAGGTGTTTGTTTAAGGGTGTGTGGGGAGTTATATGTTTTTCGAATGGGTTTCTTCTGCTTGCAGTAGTAAGTTCTTTGTAGGGTGTAGGTTTGTAGTAGAGTTTTTCTGCAGGGTTTATAGGTTTTACGCGTGGGATGTAGTAGAGACTTTTGGTAGGGCTTACAGGGTTTTGTCTAAGGAGTTCTGTCACTAGCAATGGCTTGTCGTGGAGTTTTCTGTAGGGCTTTACAGGGTTAAAAAAAGGGTTGTTGTCAATGGCAAGTAGTTTTGCAGCAGAGCTTTCTGTACGAGTTTACAGGTTGTGATAAGGTTCTTTGCTGCTCGGGCTCCAAGGTTTACCTCTTGGGATTTCTGGTTGAAGGTACTCCCGGCCCCAACGTCTCAGGGCCTCTATCAACAGCATCCATGTTACCTTGAGCATCTTGAAATGACACCCCTTACGATTAGGTACCGCTGGCTTGAATTTCGTATGGTCGCTTGCTGGGCTGATGTAGACGTCTGAACCATGGTATTTCAACCCTGAGGGTCCATGTACTCATATAGTATATACATTGGCCTTAAAGTACTCCCTAGAAAGAGGTACATTGGGCCCAAAATATATGCTCTATGGGTACAGCGACCCTTAGGGAAGACAAAGCTCGGGAGGTGGTCGAGGAGCTTTTCGTGGAGGCAAAGATCATGGCGACCCACTCAGCTTCTGGGGGGCCCCAAGGGTCCTGTAAAGGGTTCCTGTACAGGGTTACCCTAAGCGGATACTATCACCCCCAAGGGTCCAACGGTTGATGATAGAAATCCTGCATGACCTTAAGGACCCTAAACTATGGGAATCATGGTATATTCCTTATGATGGGTCATGCAGGGTTTATATCATCAACCGAAGTACCCAATAATCATTTACTCTCCCAAATCCTAACCTACATACTTACCATCTTAAAACCGAGTACCTAATTCTTGGCTCCTTTGGACCCTTGGGGGGGGGTTCGTTTCGGAGTTTAGGATTTATTTGGTGTAGGGTTTTTAGGTCTGCATCGCCCATAGCGCACCTACCATATGTTCTGTACTTTAGGATAGTTGAGGTAATGCAGGATCTTGAAAGTTGGTATGGGGGGTTCTACAAGGTTGCATCAAGGGTTCTCCATATGAACTTAAGTTGATCGGTTTCGTGATTTATGGGCTAGTTGCCCCACTCAGCATGGGTTGAATAACTTCGCTTCGTTTTGGCGGTTCTACTAAAACAATAGTGTAATGTAACACCTTGTAAACCGATTTTAGCATATCATAGTAGTATTTTCTAAACTACAATATGCAATAAGAGTAAAAAAGTTGTGTATTATAACATATATCTTGAGCTCACTCTTGGAGCCTTTGACGGGATTGCAGCCTTCGCAGTGCCAGGCCCGAGCTTCCCCCTCGCAGACACGAGGCTCTTGCCGAAGCGCCGCCATGACCGTGGTTTCCGTCAGGAACGATCTGCAAACTCCTATCGAAGTGGAGCTTCGAAGTGAGGAGTGGCAGGTGGTGTATCCACAGCGGTCCTGCGACGTCGAAGTGTCGGATGGAGTGGTCACCTCGGTCGGGATTCGATTGCGCGAAAAGCCGGGTTTGAAGGGCAGCTGCCAGGTTACCCACGGCTCCTCAGTATCTTGGGTAGGCAGCGGGAGAACTTTAACTTCAAGTTTTTTGGCTTTGCATACTTGGTCTACCTTGTCTAGAAAGCTTGGACTAGTTTGGGCCTGGTTATGGAAGAAAGGCACCTAGAACCCTAAAAGTAGGTAAACTAATGGCCCAAAACCTATAAAAGGCTATTATTCTACATACTTTTGGACCCTAAGCCCTAAACCCTAAACTAAACCCTAAACCCTAAACTAAACCTTCAACCCTAAATTAAGGTATTACGGGCCTCCGTGGACTTCGAGTCTTTCAGCCGAGTCGCGAAGGGCCGCGAGCGAGCCGAGGCCCGACAGCTGGCCCGCGAAGGAGACCACAGGGTCCCTTTAAGGGGATCCTTAAAGGGATCCATAATATGTATACACTATTACTATTCCTAGGGTCCCTTTAAAGGGATCCTTAAAGGGATCTATAGGGATTCTTAAAGGGATCCATACCCATAGGCCCCAAAGTAGTTCCTTTTGGGGAGTCCTGAAAGGGATCCATAATATGTATATATATATATATATATATACACTATAACTATTACCATGGTTCCAGTAAGGGTCCTTTAAGGAAGGGATCTATAGGGTTCCTTAAAGGGATCCATGCTCCATGTACCCAAAGGGATGGATTTAGGGGTTTAGGGGTTAGGATTTAGGGGTTTAGGGCTGTAGAGTTTACCTAGACCCTCCATGTACCCTCTATTAGACTCTAAGTAACTCTAATTTGGGACCATATACCCCTATTTGAGGGTACATGGAGGGTAGTGATCTAAAGGGATGTATAACCCGGTTTACTTACCCCTACTAACCAAAGGTAAGTTTAGTCTTTAGGGGTTCATAGGGTTTAGGGTTTCCTTTAAACAAGAAGCCAGCGGAGCGCGAAGGGAGGAAGCCCAGAAGCGGATGGACGCAGCGATCCAAGAGATCGATTGGGGACCGTTTCTTGTTTTTGGTGTCATTCCATTGCTTGTCCTGTACTGTTGCACAATCATCCCGGCCGAAAGCGGCTTTGCGGCTCTACTGGTGGCGATGGCCACCGTGCCGTTGTGCTGCTGTCTCAGTGTTCTGAGTTTGGCTGACAGTGGTCGAAATCATGACGACCTTGGTTTTGGAAAGTACTCTGTCCGAGCAGTTTTTGGCATTCGGCTTATGGGGTTCCTCGCGCTGGCTTTGCTGGTGCTGATGACGATCCAACACGCTCGGCAAGGATTCTCATGGACTGCAGCCATCGTGTGGCCTGTGCCCTTGTCTTGTGGCGGGCTTGTTCTACTTTTTAGTGTTGTTACAAGAAGCAACGATGAATTGCACGGCAAGCAGAAGGAAACCCTTGAACGAGAGCGCAAGGAAGCCCAAGGCGAAGTCAGCAACAGCACCATCCGCTTCGAGGGGAGCGTCATCCGTGAACCTGGCCGGCTCTGCGTGGCCAGCTGGCCAGGGAAGTACGAAGGCGCGTGGGAATCCCTCGTGTCGCAAGGCCGCAATGGCACAGTCAGCGCAGCGGTCGTCTTCCTCCCTCAAGGCACGGACGACTACGGCCAATGCGACAGCATCCCACTGGCTGAAGTCTTACCCGGCACCTGCTGGTGCACGCCCCTCTACGGTGAGCAGAAGCCATGGGGGTGCAGATGGTTTACAAAATGGAGGGAGAACATCGAGACGGCAGTGGAGTCCGGAGCAGAGTTGGAAGTCTACTACTTTCAGCACCACGTTGGCAAAGGCAAAGTGAATAGCTTCGGCACGGCAGGCGACGACAACCTCCAGAGGGAGAAGGTGAACAAGAAGCAACAAGACTTCGAAGAGTCTCTCGAGTTCCAGCAGGCGTTGGACGCAGGTCTCGGCAACCTTTCCAAGCAGCCGCGTGGCGACGGATCCTCCCAGTACAGCCGTGAAGCCCGGCGCCTGTTCCTCGCCTCCCTCCCGGAGACAGAGCGTCAGTTTCTCGCAGCCTCAGAGGGCCTGGGCAACTCCCAGAAAGCCGAGGTCGCATGGCTGGAAAAGAAGGGCTACACATACTGGGAGGTGGACGTCTCTACGTGGCTCCCGGGAGAGGGAGTTGAGAGATACGTCCAGCTACATGGTGAACGACAGCCGCAACTTTATGGCCGGCAGGACGACTTCTCACCAGTCTCAATTTCGATAGCTCGAGAATAGGGATGGAGACCTAGAATCTAGAAGGTACTGACGGCCGGACTAAATACGAAAAGGGTTACAATTGGGTTAGAAGTCCGTGTAGTAGGGTTACCCCAATCTACGTACAATACTTATTACCTTACTACTTGTAAGTCCCATGAGCGTAGAAGTATCATGTTGGCATGCATGTTCCGGCATCTGCCGAACTGAATCCGTAAGGACACGGCCGGCAGGATGACGTCTCACGAATCTGCATTTCGACCGCCACAGAGTAGAGAAGAAGTTCTGGAACATATGGGTGCCACAGAAATATGTTTGTTGGCTTATGCGTTTGATTTTTGTTTCGTTTGTTTGTTTGTTTGTGTGAATGCTGTGGCTTCACATCTCCGGTCTTGGCTGATCTATGTATTCGAGACAATGGCCAACTGGAGTATTTGGCAAACCGGCATAGTTAGTGCAGAACAATGCACGATCACCGCCGCGAGCTTGTGCCGACGGCCTTGTGAGCCATTTCCCGAGATCCCTCACCTGTAGTGTCCGAGGCAACTAGCATCCCTAGGCGTTGCAGTGTTTTTCAAGCATCAGGCCTGCCCCCTTCTCAAACAGACTTGCAATGTGAAAAGTCTGGCGTTGACATTAAGACCGTGGCACATGCTGAAGGGCCACGTGCCATGGATCAGATTTTTGATTGATTGGTGACATGGTTTTCCGCACGCACATTTAGTCGTGACACTCCTGTATCTCGATCACTTGTACGCACGATCAGATATTTAGTTCTGTATGTTGTGCCCATTGCTACGATTAAGCGTGCCGAAGGGCCACATGCCACGGATCATAGCTTGCTAGTCTCGAAGCATTGGGATTTGCTGATTTGTGATTTGACATTGGCATCCGGTGTTTCTGTGGACGTAACGCCCTGATCCAAAACAGGCGCGTGCAGTTGTTCGGGCTTCAGGTTTTCGGTTTTCGGTGTTTTCTAGGATTCCGAAACAAGCCGAGGCTCCGTGATGCGTGCGTCCCGATCTCGTATGTTGGGGTCCATGTGTGACCTTACCCAGGTCGGGTTTGGGTTTAGTGGTTTGGGGTGTCGTGATTTGGAATCGGAGAGGCTCGGGTGTAGGGGAGCGGCTACGCTTTTCTTAATGGAGGTTTGGAGTTAATAGGGGTATGTAGATCTCAGTACCTCTTAAGTTCCGGTGTCCTTATGAAGGATCCCCCGATGGAAATCAGCTTCACGCTAGACCTAGGGCTTCGTTTGAGCGATTTTGACGGACGGTATGAGGAAGATGCGACGTGTGCAGAGTTGAGACATGATTTAATATAGAAGCACGAGCGGTTTCTGTCAATGCTATTCCTCGCGGCTCCTCCCTGTAATTATGGTTTTGCGATAAAATACCTCTATTCAAGTATCAAGACGGCCCTCTTACTTTTCAGGATACTGCGGCTCTGAGCGGGCTAAGATTGGAGGGAATATCGTTGACGTCAACAAGCAGAACATAATTGTTGTGGGTTGGTTTGCAATCTGAAAGGTCATGGGTTGCAGTGCATGCACGTGCAATTGAACACGGTATGCACGGACCAGTGCCAGGTGCTGATTTCCACATCAACGCTCGCCTGGGGTGTGAACTTCCCTGCGCATCTTGCTGGGCTCACGGAGTTGACCAAAGGATCCTAAGTATCTGTAATTACTATTATAATGGTTCAGAGGAGCTACGGACTAGTTACTTGAGCATAGGATAGCAGTTACGTAGGTTTGCGTTTAATTCGGCGTGTAGCAAAAGATCATGTACCTGGACCCATAGACTGCGCCCTGACGCCCTTCGTGCCTAATACACCATAAACCTTTGCCTTCAGAGTTCGAGAGTAGATTTGTATAGCAGGAATTAGCTTGTGGTAAGTATCCACCATAGAGAGGGAGTTGTTCTGTTTTTGGGGGCATACGCAGGATTAGGATGTTCTTCCAAGTGTTGAGCTCTCTGGCATCCCGGTTGTTGACTTGAGAGGTGTTGGGCAGGTTTTTTCCTAGACGGTAAACTAGCCTAAAACCCACAGCCCTATGCAGGTCCTCAGGATTTGAGGGTTTTGGGGCTTCGGTGTCTTGAGTTGTTCGGGGGTCGGGCTAAACGGCTGAACTTGATCCGAAAACGGAATGGATTTTTGGTTGCCACGGTTTATTACGACCATCCACTAGATTTTTGGTTGCCGCGGTTTATTACTACCATCCACTAGATTTTACACAAAAGGTACTACTTTGTTGGGTCTAGGTCCCCCGTGTTGCGCCCATTGGCTGTCAGGGACTTTTGCTATCGTTCGGACATTGGAGTACCTGTCAGATTCATTTAAGGATGTGTTGCATATTCATGCCGGGGAGGGGCTTGCTAGCCAAAAGCTGGTTCTGCAGTACGAGCAGAACATGCGAGATGCTGTAGAGCGTTTTCTTAATTGATATTCAGATGTTCTTGAACCAAGCTTCTGGAACTTGAATGAGCGACTTCCCAAGATGATGATCACGACAACTATATAAAGGTACTTGACGACAACACTCTCGCCACTTTCCAGGTCATCATCAAGGGAACGGAGTACTACGATGGCCAGCTCAAGCGTTATGTCCCTTGGCAGGATTCGTTGGCACAGCTACAGGTTTCAGAGTTCTGGGGTTTTCACTATCCCTTAGTTAAGCGTCCCGTTTGAGTGGGGGATTAGTGCAAAGGAAAGTCCTGACTGATATTGTAGGAGCCTTAATCATTAAAATAGGGTTCCTTGGGTTTCTTACTGTAACAAGTGTATTACTACACCCCCCCTCCCCCCCCCAAAAAAAAACCCTACTCTAATATATTCGAATGATTACGGCCCCTATACACAGGTCTTTGGGAGTCTCAGAAACCGTAAACCCGAAACCCTAACCTCTAAGCATACAGAGAGCCGAAACTTCTGCGGTGTGCTCAGTGTAAGCCGGCGATCCAGAAACCCCCTGTCTTAAGGGTTTTACCCTGGCTGCAACTATAAGGGGTCATAACAAACTAGTTTCTAGGGTTTGGGCTTCAGGCTGCAGGAAAGTTTGTCTCCTGGAACCCTGAAACATTCAGCGTGACCTTGGATTTTGCAACCGCAAGCTCGTCAGCTGGGCTGCCTCTCTGAGGGGGGGGAACTGTGTGCAGGAAGTGTTTTTGGTATTGAGGGTTTAGGCAATTGTAAGCTCTGCACCCAAACCCAAAGCCCTGAAGCCTAAACCCCCAACTCGTAAACCCCAGAACCCTGAAGCCAAAGAGCTTCAACCTTACAGACTCTAAACTCAAGAACCCGGAAGCCTACCAGGAAACCCTACAAAACAGTAGGTTATGACCCTATGGGAAGAACCGTTACAGCTGCACGTTCTTGGATCTCAGCTATGCTCCAGAGCCTCATGGGTGCAACATGGCAAGATCTTATCAATCCTCCGCCTGTCACACACAACATGACTTTGGTGAAAGCGCCGCCACCCCTAAACGCTAATATTTGGTTTTGCTGCAGTACGGGCTTCGGGAGTCTCTGCCCTAACCTTCGGTGCTCTCAGTGTAACTTGGGGATCCCAAACCTACGGCTCTAAGGGCTATATGTTAAATCAAGGGTCATAACCGACGCGTTTGTACGGTTTGAAGCTACAGGAAGGTTTTCTTTGCCTAAGCATCTATCTGACCTGAGCCTGTCACACACAAGATGCCTTTGGTGAAAGAGCCGGCACCCCTACGTGCTAACCCCTAAGCACTAACCGTGGACAATGTAAAGGCATCGAAAATATTGCTGGCATTACCCTTATAGTCCTTAATGTAGCTCTGGATGTCGTAACCCTACAGATCACTCTTGGACTCTTGGACGGTAAACCATCATTGTCCAAGACAGACCCTATGTATAAGTGCAAGGGTTGGACCACATCAACCAACGGGTCCAAAGTACATATATGGTAAAATGTAGTGTTTCTGTATAAGGAACTACTATTATGATTGGGGAAGTTTCTCCCATATCAGTACCTACGGTTGATGATATACAACCTGCATTGCCCACAGTAAGGAATGTACCATAATTCCCATGGTCTAGGGAAGTCAAGGTCATGCAGGAGTTATATCATCGATCGTAGGACGTTTTTGGGAAACCAGTTGAGTCGAGGTCGACTTCCCGATTACCGACGTGCTGCAGATGACACCTGGCTAGATTCGTAGGGTTTCCACTTTCGGGCTGAAGACGATGCGCTATCCCTGCTGTAAGTGTTCAAGTCCTTCCCATTATGGGATGTTGGGTCCTTTTTGATTAAGAAGCCATAGATAAGGACTTTAGGGTATTTCCCAAGGCCAATGTAAGGGTCTAGCTTGTGATTTAGCTCTAAAGACCTCACCCAGAAGCACTAAACTCCACCAGATCAGTTTGAACCCTAAACCCCAAGGCCCTGGAGAACCCCAAACCCTAAGGCCAGTTTGAATAGCAGAACCAGAAGCCGCCGTAGTTCAAGAACACCTCCCTGAGGGTCTGAACACTTTGGGGAACCTCTCCGATACCCCGAAGAGACCCAAGACCCTCCTAAGGAGATTCCTGGACCCTCAGGGTAGACCCTGTAATGCAGCTCTTCTTTTTGGGTTACCTCGAGGCTCCATATACCGTACCATTCTGGAATTGGGTCCCAAAAGACCATCCATATTGTGTCTTTGGGGACCTAATTCCATAATGGTACTTTTTATGGAGCCTCTGGGTTAGCTTGTCGTTATTGAACTGAGGGTTTGGGGTAATTCGAAGCTTAGATCAATAGAACAGGCTCTGCAAAAATAGCTACTGAACCGAAGACCGAGTGCTGCAGTCACGGGGAAGCCTTGCTCGCAGACCAGGATGGGTCGTGCCGGACGTCCCCAGTTCGACACTGAAGCCCGTGCCGTCGTCATGGTCCATGAGCCACTTGGGTAGAAGAGAAAGGTTTGGGGTTTACTTAAAGGCTCATGGGACTTAGTAAGTAGGGGTTTGAGGTGATATCCAAGCTTACTCATTTATTTAGCGAGTCTCACAGCATGAGGCTTTCGTCGTCCATGGCCCACTTGGGTGTTGAAGGAGGGGTGGCAAGGGTTCTCTAGGGCCCTTTCAGGGTTCTATCTAGCGGGCTGGATTCTATCCAATCGAGACCGAATGTAAACCCTTAAAGCCCCCGAAACCCTAAACACTTTAGACCCCCAACTACCCTCTAAACTCATGATCAAGGACCATAAGGACTCTATTAAAGGGCCCTTGGGGGGCCCTGGTATTCCAAGTGTTTGGAGCTCGGTGCTCGTTCAGTCAACTCTTACTTGTAGGGTGTGTTGGTTGATCCCAGCATCGTTTTGGTCTAGGGTTCAGGGGACCCTTTAGATGCAAAACCTGCAAAGCAGTAAGTGTTGCAATGAGCCCTTAAAACATAAACAAACAGGGTACAACCCTTAGAACAAGTGGTTTTTGGATCCTCAGAAAAGTTTAGCTCAACGCCCCGAGCCCTAAACTCTGAACTCCACAGGCCTGAGCTCTAAACTCAGCCCGTGCGCGCTGAGGCCCAAGAAGAACTTCTACCGCCGCTTCATCTACGAGCCTTTTCCGGCAGCTCGGCGCATTCGGGTTTCGGGATTTACGGGGTTTAGAGGTTTAGGGATTTAGAAAATTTTGCTTTGGCGAAAAGCAGCGTATCCAAAGCTCGAGACTCTACGAGGTTATTGAAGGCTGTTTTAAACTTTGGTGTTCTTGCTGTGATGATGTCTGTTCTAGAGATCTCCAAGACATTGTGTTGATTACCGTCTATCGGGAGTAGATGAATCCTGCATCAGCTGTCGTTCAGGGCCCTAGACCCGAAACCCTGCAACAGTGGTCGTTGAGGGCTTGATTCGATGAGTGTTCTTGCCTTGCTGATGTGGATCGTGTTTTTTGCGTTTTCCTGGGATTTGAAATTGAGGGTCTGGGGGTTTAGGCTTCACAAAGTGCGGCAAGGTTGAGTCCTCACTGCATGAGCAGCTGACGGACCACTTGAATGCGGAGATCGTGGCGAAGACGATCAGGAGATGCGGGGGGCAGGGGGGGGGGCCTAAGTAAGTGTTCTTAAAGGGCTCCTTGAAGGGATCTGTAGGGTTCCTTAAAGGGATCTATGGGGTTTAGGGTTTAGGGTCTACTTGGAGGGTCGGGGGACTTAGTCTATTAGTAAAAGGTTATAAGCAGGGTTAAAATTGGGCTAACTCCCTTTAGGGTACTTATAACTCTACGTATGGCCTACTTACTAAGTCCCCTGCCCCTCCAATTGGGGCCTGAATTCTAGAAGAGTTTAGGCTCCCATATTGCGCTGTCCTACAGATTCACAGAAATCTCCTGAATGAAGCCTTCTTTTGTGGGTTATGGTAGGGATCAGTTTAGGGTTTCTGTGTCGTTTTGGGGTCTAGATACGAACAGGGTCATACGTGAAAGCAGTGACAAGCTAAACAAATGAAGCATGAGTCGATGCTAACTTGAACTAGTCAACAGTGAAAGGTGTCATTGCAGCCGTAGTTTAAACCTACACCCTCGACCCTTTTCTGAACCCAAGAGCCCTGCCCACGCCGAGAAACCCATGGACTGCAGTTTTTTGTTTCTACGGTTTGGGTTTTCGGGTTTAGAGTTATAAGCGTTTGGGGATTAGGGTTCGGGGTTCAGGGTTTAGGGTTCCAGGCACCATGCCTGCAAGCCCTGAAACTAGAATTGCTCCCTCATCTCTCAACGACGGTTTTTTCTGGAAATCGGTGTTTCTGCAGAGGACACGCGAGGAAGCCATCGACTACGTCACCTGGACCCGGGGGTTTGGGGAAGTAGGACTTACCCCGAGGGTCCAAGGTATCCAAGAATCGGACCCCAAATACGAACCTGCGTTGCTACGGTTGATGATATAAATCCTGCATTACCCATATTATATTCCTTATTGTGGGTAATGCAGGGTTTATATCATCAACCGTACTAGCCTAAACTAGTTATCAGGTATCTGCTACCTGGGTTTTGGTTCTAGAAATTTGCGCAAGCGACGTTTTTGTGTGTGAAGAAGCCTGAGGTCCTAACTTTGCAGTTTAGGGTCGAAGTGCTCAGGGATGCCTTCTTGACGAGTCGGAGGACTTGATAAGTAGGAAATTAGTATAAAAATGGACTCGTAAGTGGGGTCCTTCATACACGGGGTTATGGTACTTATGACTCCAAAACTCTAAAACTTACTAAGTAGCTACTTATTGATTCCCTCGCCCCTCCAAGTAGTCCCCCTCGAGCCTAGGGCTTTAGGGCACGGTCTTCAGCTTTTTATCGTGTGCTTTGCTTTTTATCGCTATGTTTAGAGAGGGTGGTGCAGTGCTCATCGCTTGTGAGAGCCAGTAGTTAAGTACTATACGCACACAAGAACTCAAGATATATTTCTTGGTGGAGGGGCTTTGGAGTTTCTGCGTGGCGGACCCAGGCCACGATAAACCAGGTAAACCCAGTGGAGGACCCCAACCCCGTGACCCAAAACCCGGGTGGGAGTCTTAAACAGGACGTATTTCTTCCGGCGTTTGACCGCCAACCCGGCATACTACGACCAGCAGGCAGCATCTGCAGGACGATAGAGTCGGTAGAGAGAGTACAAAGTCAATGCCAGGGGTCGTATCTAAGGGTATAGGATGTCTAGGGACGAGCCTTTAGTACGTAGGGCTTAAGATTTCGAATTTGGGGTTGGTTGGAGAATGTGTAACCCTAAGGGTCCATGTAACCATATAGCCTTTAATTTGGGCCCAATGTACCTATATAGGGAGTACTTTAAGGCCAATGTATATACTATGTGAGTACATGGACCCAGGGATAAGGCTTTTTATTTCGGCCTAGGGTTCAGGATTCGTCATGCTTGGGTCGTCTTGAGCTCATAACATGCCGAACACATACTTGAACAGGAATCCCGATCTCTCTGTCCTTGCCAACGGGACGCAAATTTAACGTGCTGCAACAGTTTCTACGGGCTCTAGAAGAGGTTGCGGGTCGGACCGGAGTTTAGAGATCTGTGTTCATAGTTTGGATTCGTATTCCCCACATGTCAGCGCAGCCTTCAGGCAAAACTGCTTCCTGACCGTTCGTGGAAAGCTGAAATTAACGTGTAAACCCCTGCGTACACCCGAAGCCTCCAAACCCCATAACACAAAGCCTTTTAACTGCCAAAACCTAATTTCCGCAGGGGCAACGTCACGAAGCAAGCAACAGAAGCTTGGAAGGACACTTCAGTTCTCAACCCTCGTAGAACCTTTCTTCGAAGCTCCAAATTTCTCAACCCCACACGAAAGCGCTACTTCTGCATTCCCTGGATCCTTGTTTGTTGGAGGCCAAAGGCTCTCAGTCTTGCGGTATGATGTTGCCTATGCGCGCGATCCCAGAAAACCCTCCTTGTGAAATCCCTATAATTTCGGTTGGTTTACTCCTCAAGAGTGACAAACCTAAACCCTAACCCCTACCCTAGAACTACCATCGCGTTCTGCTTTCGTAGGTCCTTATCGTGGACCTTATATAGGGCCTACAAAGAAGTCGGTTTTGGTTGTTCCAGGTCCACCCTGGGCGCCATAGTAGTTCTTGTCTGAGGTTCATATTTAGAGTCCTAGAAGGTACTCCCAGTAAGGAACTATGGAGCCTATGGGTAAGCCCTATGTATCCCTAAGGATCCATGTACTCATATAGTGTATTCATTGGCCCTAAAGTACTCCCTACATTGGGCCCAAAGTTTATGCTATATGGGTATCTGGACCCTTAGGGTATGGTGTGCAAGCCCTGAACCCTTAAGGTTGCTTTACCCGGCTTTGTCGTAGGCTGCCTTGCTGGAAACCCCCGACTTCGAGAAGCAAAAGGCGGCCTGCTCTGCTTTTTTTCTGTGAGTAGCTTCAGTGCGCTGCTTTTGGGTTTGGTGTGAGTTTGGGGTTGGTTTCCGTTTCGGAAGTTTTGGGGTTTAGGGTTGTCTTGGGGTCACTTTATTTTTCTTGCGTTGATGAATTTAATCAGGTTTAGGTCCGTAGGGTCTTGGGACTTGGGGTTCAATTTTGGAGGTCGTGATCATGTAGCACAGGGACATCTTTGTTGTCGAGTTTAGGGTTTATGGGCTTATGGAGTTTAAGGTAGGCTTAAAGGTGTAACGAGATCTTAGGGCTCTAGGGCCTGCCGGGTCGACTATGTACGGCTTGCGGGCTTGATAGAGTTTCATGGTCGGCTTTGTTCAACACATCCCTAAGGGTCCATGTACTCATATCGTATATACATTGGCCTGAAAGTGCTCCCTATATAGGTACATTGGGCCCAAAGTATATGCTATATGGGTACATGGACCCTTATAGGGATTGGATCTGTTTGCAGGACATGCTGGCAAACTACATCGAGCGATTGATGAACAAGTGCTTGGACGAGCTGATTCGATCAGGCTGGGCACAAAGGTAGGAGGATGCATTGAGCCAGACATTGTGCGCGCACTTTTGTACCTGAGGGTGCCCAAGAGCTCCAAAGTGCAAGGCTGTATCGAAGCTTCTAAGCCCTGTAGTCGTGACCCTTGTAGAACCGAAAACCCTAAACCAACAACCCGAAATTCCCAACCTCCAAGCGCAAGGCTGTATCCTAAATCCTTAAAGCCCCTACCAAACCCTTACAGTAATAACCCTTCTAGAACCTTAAACCCTAAACCTAAACCCTGTAAATATGAAACCTAAACCCTAGCCCTACACCCCTGAAGAAACCCTGAGTGCAAGGCCGGAAGAACCTACCTTTTTAAGGACTTATATAAGGAAATCATAATAGGGAACCCTAAAAAGGTAGGTTATTCCGGCTTAAGGTAGACCCTAAACCCTAAACCCAGGCTGTATCGAGCTTCGGGAGGCCCAGGTCGCACCAGGAGGCCGTCTGTCGGGCATGCAGAAGCCTTTTTGGGCTCCTCAAAGGGAGCTCTACAAGGGCTGCTTAAAGGGATCTTAAAGGGATTTATGGGGTTTAGGGTTCAGGGTCTACTTGGAGGGGCAGGGGACTTCGTAAGTAGGTTATAAGTAGGGTTCTTATTGGGGTCACTCCATTTAGAGTATTCATAACTCTACTTATAGCCTACTTGCTGAGTCCCCTGCCCCTCCAAGCAGACCCTAAACCCTAAACCCCATAGATCCCTGTAAGGAACCCTATAGATCCCTTTAAGGAGCCCTTTAAGAGCCCTTACTAAGTCCCCCTAAAGCCCCTCCAAGTAAAGGCGCCTTGAGGAACTCTTTCGGGTTCTTTGAGGGAGCATAATAAGGGCTCATTTAGGGGAACTATATGTGTAAGGGTTCCTTGAAGGGAACTGTGAGGGCCCCTTTAAGGAAACTCTACGGTTTTTTTTGCGGATGTTGATGGGGTTTTGTACGGGTTTATTCCTGCGTGTTCCTTATACATATATTAGCTTTCCCAAATCACCTAAAGAGACCCAAACCATACTGAGGATTATCACAGGGACGCCTTTGAGGTTGTTGATTGAGTTGCATGACAGGGGCTTCGGAGGATTACTATAAGGGTCAAGGGTTCCATTCAACCCAGAGATCCCAATACCCCATAATTAAGGAATATACCTTAAATCACAACATCAAGCAAGGCCTCTATATAAGTTAAGGTATACTCCTTAGTACTGGGTTCTCTGGGAAGGTTCTACTGGGGTTCGGGAGTTTAGGTTTTAGGGCTTGGGGTCTTTGTGGTGGTTGCTCGATTCACTGGCATGTCGGATCTGTGGAGTGGACTTACCTTTCCCTAAGGGTCCATGTACTCATATAGCATATACTTTGGGCCCAATGTACCTATATAGGGAGTACTTTAAGGCCAATGTATATACTATATGAGTACATGGACCCTTAGGGTTACCTTTGCGGATTGCAGGACTCATGCGCTTGAAGTTCAAAGACTACTCAACTCAGGGCTTGTTGGTTTTTGTTTGGGCTTTTGGGTTTAATCAGGCGTCGATAGGGCCTGGGGAGTGCTTCAGAGGTGGTATCCTATGTACATATGGTCTTTCTGGGAGGTTAAACAGAGATTCTTACGAAGACTTCCGTGAAGATACATTTTGGGAGTGGTGCTTGAGAGGGTAGCAACAAAGCCCATGCAAGTTCGAGTTCCAGAAACTAGGAGTACTTTATTTCTGGGTGTGTTTTCTCATGATCATGCTGTTGCAACACCATGAGACACAGTACGAGAGCATGTGCGAATTTGCGAACGCTCCTTGATGCTTTATCGTTTTCGTGCTTTGCAGATGGGCGCTTCATACACTTTGAAAGCGTTGAAGAGAAAACCTGAGCCCTAGAAACCCCAAACCCGAAGCCCATAGCCCGCCTAAACATCTAAAGCACTGAAAGTCTCTAAACATTTCAAGCGCCGAAGGGGTCGCTTCGGCGGCCGTTGAGCCCACGAAGCTCGGGCGCATCGCCTCCTTGTGCGCTTGGGGGGCGGTGCTTCAGGGTTTAGTGTTCCTGCAGGGGCTCCTGTTTTAGGGGCTTCGGCTTTCTCCTGAGCCTGAAGGTTTTCCAAAGGATGCGCCTATGGGCGATTTTGAGCGCCAGGGTGTAAGCAAAGAGCAATTAGGCCAGCATTACTTCGGTAGTAGGGGTTTGGCAGTTACCTACAGTCACTATTACTATAGTCTCCATTGTAAATACTTTTTCTGGTTGACCAAAAACTATTTCATAGGATCCTAACCATAAAACTGGTTAACCAAGAAAAGGACCTACAATGGAGACTATAGGTGCTCTCAGGGCTTCAGGCCTCGGCCGTTGGTTAGTTTCGCCTTAGGGTTTCGAGTTTTAGGCTCAGGGGTTTAGGGTCAAGTTTCGGGCTTAGGTTTAGGGGTTGGGGTCGTGACCAGGAGTTTGCATGAGGTTCCCACCCCACCCTCAAGAACAAATCGAGGAGGGTTTCGAGGTTGTAGGGTCCATTTGGCCATGTAGTGGTTCTGCAGAACAGCATTCGGGTCTCATTTTATGAGCCAAAATAATAAGGATGCCACAATCTAGCTCTTGCAATCCGAAATGTTGATAGCATCGCCATGTTACATGACATTCCCGGGTCTTCGTTTTCCGTGGCTTTCGATTTCGTGTGTTTGGTGGCTTGTTTCCGGCTTGAGATTTACCCCAAGGGTCCAAATACCTAATAATCATATACTCACCAAAACCCTAACCTACATAGCTACTATCCGAAAACCGAGTACCTAATTATTGGGCCCTTTGGACCCTTGGGGTTTAGGTGCATGGACCCGGCATGGAGTTGACAGATGAGGTTGTCGAGACTCAACATGCCAGAACTCCGCACTGTGGCCAGTAGATTCGGCCAGGCCTTCCCAACTTTCCTGTATACCTATAGTATCCATTCTAGTTCCTTGTTTGGTTAACCAATTTTATGGTTAGGATCCTTTAATATCGGTTTTGGTTCACCAAAAAGGAACTACAATGGAGACTATAGGTAGGAACCGAAATCTCCTGAAGCGCGCAAATTTCTACTCAGGGTTGGGGACCCACTTGGAGGGGCAGGGGACTTAGTAAGCAGGTTATAAGTAGGGTTATAACTAGGATAACCCCACTTAATCAGGGGACTTGTAATCCCAACTCTAACCTGCCTACTAACTCCCAGGATCCTCTAAGTACTCAGCGTTGGGGACTCAGAGGCCTGACAGAAGCAAACTCGGCAGGTACTACCTCAGCCATCGCACCGTGGCGCAGCACGATGCCCAGTGCTTCCTCGAATTGTTCTGGAAAAGGGGAGTTTAAGAGTGTATGACTGTCTGAAACTGCAGACCTTCAGTGATTTCCTCTGCATGGACTTCGAGGCTAAAGCATGGTTCATGGTTTCAGACGTAATGTGCAAGATCTTGGACCTTCAGAGCAGTGTATGGCAGTGTTGGAAAGGCTTCGAATAATCCCTAAACGTACATCGAAACGTTAAGCCCCAAACCAGAAAACTACTACAGAACCCCTTCAAAGGAACCCCTTGAAGACACCCTTGTACTAACCTTTATAACTGATAAAGCCTGACAAAGCCCCACCTAGTAGTCGAATTCTGAAGGCCTCCTCGCCCTGCAAGCCCATATGCCTGCTAATAAACCTTCAGTTCCAATCAATACGGCACCATGTTGTCCCCAGGTTCCAGCTAGCCCGTATGGATTTCTGTAAACCCTCCTAAAACCCTTGAAGGGATCCTTTCAAAGAAGCCGATAAGGGCGCCCAGGCTAAAACCCAGCAAAAGCCTATGACACCCCCTGTGAAACCTGCAAACCCAAAGGTCCCAGGTGCTGTTAGGGGGGATACTTCCCCAAATCATAATAGTAATTCTTAATAAAGAAACCCTACATTCTATTACAAAGGTACTTTGGACCCTTTGGCAAAGGATCCTTTCAAGGAGGCCGAGTAAGGAAGGCACCGTTTTCCCCAAGGTTCCAGCGTACTTTAGCCCGAGAAGGGCTCGGATTTGTGGAGATCATGCGGGTGCTCTGCGAATGCCGCAGCCTTAGTGTTTTGGGTTTGGGGGGGGGGGGGTATTTTTTAGGGTCTTGGGTCTTTGGGTTTAGGGTCATGGTCTTGCAATAGTCTTAGCTTGCATTTAGGCTACATGAGAGTTTAGGATATGGCGTTTTCTGTCAGCAAAACAAATGCTAAACCCTAAAACCCACCTCGCCCCTGAACTACCCGCGAATATACCCTAAGTAGGTGCCATAGTCATTAGCGCCCCATTGCAGCGCACTTGGTTTAATGTGGGTCCTGTTGGGCCAAACCTTAAGGATCAAGCAGCCCTTGAAACCTAAACCCAGCCTTGTAAGCACTAAACTCTACACCTACATCCTAAACCCTAGAAAGCCCAAACCCTACACTCGTCACCAACATCCTAAAGCTTATGAACCCTGAACCCTAAATCCTAAACCCTAAAATCTAAACCCACATCCTAATGCTTATAAACCCCGAAGCCTAAATCCCCAACTCTAAACCCACATCCTACAGCTTTTAAACCCTAAATTTTAAATGGTAAGCTAGACCTACAAACTACAGAAAACATTAAAACCTGCATCCTAGAGCAGGTAAGGTTACATCCTAAAGCTCATAAACCCTGAACCCTAAATCTTAACCCCTAACTTGGTCTTCCAAGGCCCTGAGTACGACGAACTGCCTGTTCGACACAACGAGGACTGAACTGGACCCGGAGCCTCACCCTACTTTGAGGGGCGGGGGGGGCCTTAGTAAGTAGCTTATGAGTCGAGTTAACCTACTTAATAAGTCCCCTGCCCCTCCAAGTACTGGTCAGGAATCGGAATGTAGGTTTACGATTTAGGGGTTTAGGGATTTGGGGTTTAGAGTTTACGGTTTAGGGGTTTCGGGTGTACTTCGGGGTTATGGTTCAGGGTTCAAAAGGATTCCAAGTTCTGGAGGGGTTTGGGGTTTAGAGTTACGAGGTTGTTTTGGATTTTAGTGTTTACGGCTTAAGGAGGGAGGCACTTGAACCCGTAACCTAAGGCTCCAAAAGAGTTTGCTGGCTTAGGGAGCACCGTCTTGTAGGTTAGGATTCAGGAGAGCTTATCTGGCCAGTTATGATTACTAGGTACTTGGTTCCTAACCCCTAAACCCGAGCCGTTCGGGTGCCTTCCAGACTTGTACACCTATGGCAGCTTTTAGCCTTCAGCTCTAAACCCAAAAGCACTCTTATGAACCCCCCCCTTGTGGTACCATGTATAATGGCCCTTCTTAGGGTTCTGCACTCTTATTACCCCCTTACGGTACGCATAGAACGGTGAGGGACCCGTAAGGAACCTTACAGTGCCCTTAAACCTTAATTCCCTATGGTACTATGTATAATGCCCCCCCCCCCCCCCCCCCGCTTATAGGGTTCCTTACTGTAACTATATATTATAGCACCAAGCCCCATTCTACTTCTTAAGCTATACTAAAGCCACATAGTACACCTTATACTAATCCTTAAAGGCACCTTTTTCAAGGAACCCTTCTACAGGCACCTTATAGCAACCCTTTAGAGGAACCAACCCCTTCTAAGGAGCCCGATTCCACTCCTGAAGGTTCCATATACTAAAGCCACGAAATACACCTTATAGTCCCCCGTGTAGGCCCCTTTGAAGGAACCCTTTGAAAGGAACCCCTATTCTAATTTTGCAAGGCGGCCCCTCTGGGTCCAGGTACCTAATAATCGCACACTCTCCAAAATCCTAACCTACATAACTACTATCCGATCCTAAAACCGAGTGCCTAATTATTGGAGGAGCCTTTAAAGGAACCCTATGACCCCTAAACCCTAACCCTGATTATTGGGTCTGTTTGATCCTTGGGGTCCTCTGTTCACCAGCCAGGATAAGCTGGCCCCGATAATATGGAACCCTTATAGTAGCCCCTTATAGGCCCCTTTAAAAGGAACGCTAAACCCTACTGGGTCCTTTGGACCCTTAGGGTAACCGGCGAGGATAAGCTGAACGCAGAGTTCGCAGAGCACTGCCCATTGGAGGCCTCTGCTTTCTTGGGCCCTGCACACAGGGTTCAGGGTTTAGGGTTTAGGGGATCCGGCGAGTTTGAATATAGGGGCCTAAATAAATAATTACCAAAAGTATGTTTTAGGGGTTCCTTATTAGAATCAAGTATGGTACAATGGGCCACAAAACCTTAGTTTAACTATCAAGGCCCGGGTATCATACATATATATATATATATATATATATATATATATAGTCGGAAGTAGGGTTTATGGGGTTTAGGAGTTAGGGTTTAAGATACCTGTATAGTGGAAGGTTAAGTTTCTGGAAAAAATACTATTAGGTTTCGGTAAGTCGCCGCCATTTATGTAATTCGAGCATTTTGGGAGCCCAACTTCCTGCACGTCTAATCCCCAATCCCTCAATCATAAACCCATGTTCTGCCTCGTCGCTTCGCAGAGATTCTGTGACAATCCAAAAGCCTACTGCTTTGAGGGCTATACCCGATAATGACGGGGTCACAACCGAGTTTGCGCCTACAGCTGGTTTCAGATCAGAGCTTCCAAGCTTTCTTCAGCAGTTATGTGTAACCACTGTATGCAAGGGCAATGCTGGGCGATAGCTCAGAGTCCCACAACCCTATAAAACTTAGATTTGAATCCCACACGCTGGAGTCATGAGCCACAGACACCTGAATTGGCGCACACCAACGCTCCAAAAAATCATCCCGTGCCTAGTTCCGGGTGTGCATTGCTTACGTAAAGTGTTCTGGAGCCTCTGGGTTTATGGCTTAGGGTGTATACAAGGGTTTAGGGTGTGCTGTTTAGGGTTTAGGGTGTGGTGTGAAGCGTTAAGGTCTTCAGGGGTTTTGGACTCAGGGGTTTGGGGATACTGGTGGGATTTGGGATTCGGATTCCAGGGCCTTTAAGCCCCCCAGACTTGAAGCCGTTTCAGTGTTCTTTTAGGGGCCTTGAAGGAACACTTTGAGATTAGAGCCTTCTTCAAAAAGAAATTCCGTGTAAGAAATTCAAATCAATCTTAAGTCTTAAGCCCTAAACCCCTAAACCCTAAACGCTTCAAACCTTACACCATCCTAAACCCTAAACCCCTAAACCCGAAACGCCTAAACCCCGAAACCCTTGAACCCTAATTTAGAGGTGGACCTCGCGATCCAAGCCTACGACTCGCCGCACACGAAAGCTTTCCTGCTGCTGCAGGTGAGCCCTGGGTTCGGTGCACGGTTTAGGGTTTAGGGGTTTTGGGGGGTAGGGTTTAGGGTTTGGGGTTGAGGGTTTAGGGCTTGGGGTTTAGGGTTTAGGGTTTTGGATGGTGCGAGGCTTACGGGCTCATAGATTATTGTTTTTTGCCCAAAGACCATACATGGGGACCCCTTCGAAATCGTACTGGGCGGGGCCCCCTACCATATAAGGCTTAGGGCTTAGGGTTCAGAGATTGGCTGAGGGTTCAGGGAATAGCTCGTGTTTAGCTATGGTGTTTGCTGGAACTTCGGCTCCTGTCCAAAGATGCTGCTTGCGGTAGACCCCTCATTATGGTAGCCCTTACCAGAAGGGCTTTAATCAAAGGGGAGAAGGAGGGACCCTTAATGGGGACCCCTACCCTATAATTGCCTATACAATGGGTATATAATTGCTATATTCAGGGTATATACCTAGGGGTCCTTATTAAGGGTCCCTCCTTTTACCCTTGGATTTAATAAGGGTTCGTCAGTCGGGGGTCTGCATTACTTCCACTGTGTTGTGGCCGCACAGTCTGCCATTATCCACAGCATCACTAAATTTGTGTTGTTTTCGTTGCACCTATCCTTGTTGCTGTGAAAAGGACTCAAAGGCTTGCGAAGTGTGGTCTCTCGGTGCGGAATTTTAGAATGTTCATGGAGTTTTGGGCCCATTCTTGCGGAGTTTCACTGGGGCAACAATAGTTGTTTTGTCGTCCGGTAGAACCTGTCCCAAAACCCTTTTCCATTGAGGCCCCTTTTTAGTCATTTAGAAGTATTTTTGAAAATCGTAGAATTTCATAGAAGGACTGGCTTTGGCTTGCTCGACCCTTGACCAGAAGAGGTACAAAAAAACACATAGGTTCATGCATGCTTCTGTAAGGGTTCCTTCAAGGATTCTATAAGGGTTCTGTACGGGTGCAAGACATCTGAACAGAAGAATCTGTGGGTCTTTCCGTAGCTCTTCTGTTGGGTATGCGACAGACACTAGGCCCACATCATACCCTGAACACAGAAGCCCAGAAGAAACAACCTAAACCATAGACCCCCCCAAAGCCTTAAATGCCTGTACCCCTAAACCCAAATCCCTGTGCCGGACACCACCAGGCCCACATGTGGGGAATTGCTCTTCCAATCAACGACTACAAGACAGACCTGAAGCAGCGGCCTCAAGTGAATCTGCCTTTGAGGTATCCCTTGAGCATTCATCGAAGGGTTCATAGGAGATACTATCAAAGTTCCAGTTTCCTTGGTTTTTGGTGTTCCCAACCCTCACACCTGACAATCAGGAGCTCCCTCAAGGCTTATCTACATGGGAGTTTCCGAAAACAGGAGACCCCAATATAGTACCCCAAACTAGTAGGATCCTTATCATAAGGACCCCCAAATAAGGGGAAACTCCCACATTACCATTGTTACTATCCTTTACCGAGGCAGTGTTGGGTCCTTTGGACCCATGCCTGTATACTTCCGAGAACTAGGGGGTACCTTTTCCGGGGGTCCTGATAATAAGGATCCTACTATATAGGGTACTATATCAGGGTACCCTAGTTTCGGAAACCCACTTGCTTCAAAATTGTCCTTAATTTGTTTTTTGTCGATCTCCAAGACTCCCAAGGTCATAGGGTTTACGTGTAGGGCTTAGGGATCAGGAATTAGTGTCGCAGCTTCGTGTTCATACGGCTCAAAGTCTAGAACTAGAATGTCGGCTTTCTCTGTAGGGTTTCCATGTTAGGAATCCTTTTCATCAATTGCGAAAACATCCCCCCGTAACAGTACCTACCTTTAGGCTTTTCTTAGCCACCAAGTCCCTGAACAGAGAGACTGGAGAACCCCTTAATTGAGGAAGCTAGACTTTACTTGGAGGGGCAGGGGACTTAGCAAGTAGGCTATATGTAGAGTTATAAGTACCCTAAATGGAGTTACCCCAAATATAACCCTACTTATAACCTACTTACTAAGTCCCCGGCCCTTTCAAATATATCATATCCTTGGGCTGATGATACAAATCCTGCATTACCCTTAATAAGGAAAACCATAATTCCCATATATTCCCTATTCAAGGTAATGCAGGATTTATATCATTAACCGTAGGGTTTAGGGTGAGAGACTACCTCTCCTCGTATCAAGGGCCCCTCTATCTTGCCAGGTGTTGTGTGGTTCCGTGGTTTTAGTCGTTTGTGTTGGTGCTCAGTGGACCCGCCCACGGACTTCTGCTACTGCCGCATGCCGAAAACCCTAAACCCTACACCCTAAACCCTAAGCCTAAACCCCTAAACCTTAAGCCCTAAACCCTAAATTCTAGGGGGTTAGAAAACCAGTCCAGACCTCCTTGAACCGAATCCGAAAGCTTAGGGTTTTGGGTTTTTGGTTTACTTGGGAGTTTCCGTCAATCAGGGGGCCCAAGTAGGCATGGTTACAGTCAAGTAACCAATCCAGGTTTATAGGGGGTTTAGGGCTTGTAGGGTTTACCGTTCAGACTTAGGACTCTTCGGCTGTAACGGTTCGGGCTTAGGTTTCCTTTCTCATCAATCCCCGAACCCTGTACAGCTGTATACTGTCCTGAATCCCCATACAATCTTGCAAAACCTAGGGTTTAGGGGTTTAGTAGGCTTAGGTTTCAGGGTCCAGGGCTTAGGGCCTCGGGTTTACGGGCTTTGGGGCCCGCTTGGGGTTCAGGACTTGGGGTTGGCGTAACGAAGCATTGCCTGGGGATCCAAAAACCTACTGCTGTAAGGGTTATACCATTTAATTAAGGGGTCATAGCCTAATATGTTGTAGAGCTTGGGGATACAGGTGAACCCTGATTGCAAGGAGCGTGCTGGACCGCTCCATCCCCCTTATCCAAGCAATGGTGGACATAGCCGCAGAGGAGGCGCCAATCTGGATGTCCCTTAAGAGTCACTGTTCTTTCATATGATCATAGCACGACGTAGAGTTAGAGTGCTGTAAGGGTTCTTTAGGGTTTAAGGGTCCATGTACCCAAATAGTAGATACTTTGGCCCCAAGGTACCTGCACTGCATAGGGATTACTTTAAGGCCAAAGTATCGTAGGCTTTTGCCTCGAAGCCAATGCTAAAAGGGTACATGGACCCCTATGGTAAATTTTGGGTGATAGGTTTTTGTCTCTGCTGCCCCTGTCTCGACCTTTGCACCGCAGAGCTAAGGCCAGATGAGTCCGACCCGAAGACCCCAACCCCATGCACCGAAAACCCAGAACTCCAAGCCCGGAGCTCTAAATCGGAGGCCTCAAAAGGTGGCATGAAGGTAGGTAGGATGAAGGATGCCGTATATGAGGAGTCTTACTTGGGAATATCCCGCCTACCGTCACCCCACCTTCGGAGCCCTTGAAAAAAGTTCAAACCATGTGTGGCTATTCTAAGTTTCCTCCAAGAGACGAGCTAGCTACATCAGCGGCATGGTGGGTTACTGGGTTCTGGGTACTTTATCATGCTCGCAGGTTCAAGAGGCACGTAACCCGCTATCTAGCTGTGCTCCTGGGTTTTACTGGGAGGACCTCATAGGGAAGCTTGCTTTAGAGCAATTACCATCGCCAGGCACAGCTTCGTTCAACGCTGAACTTGATCCTCCTACTTCAATGCCTCCACCAGGCACCTTGGGGTTACGCCGGATTCAAGTATCAGCATCGAAGACGTCAGTTTCAGAGTCTAGCATTTAAGGTTCGGGGGCATAAATCGAACCAACGCGCATGATTTCGACATTATCCTCCAAGCTTTCATGTTGTTGGTTTCAGTGTGGCCTTGAGGCTTTAAGCTTGATGGGTTTGGTGCCCTAAACCTAAACTCCAAACTCCCAGACAAGTTGCCTGTGATGCTTGAGACTACTTGGGCCTAAAGTAAGGGCCCCGAGCTCATGTCAATTTGGTTTAGGGTTGACAGCCAGGGAGATCATCAATGCTGGAGTGTGAGCAAGAAGTCGTGGTTGTCTTATGTCCCCCTGCGTAGTTTACTGTATCATGCAGTTCAAAATACCTAGAACTTGCAAAATCTCTTAGAATGAATAAACCTTAGATCATATTATCTATCAGCAATTTGCAATTCAAGCTGTATTCCTCGATTAAGGGATATTGGAAAGTCTGGCTAGTCATGCCGGCCCCAATATCACCCTGTTCTCACTGTTAAGGCCCCCAATATTACGTGAACTGTTATGGAGATCTAAACCGTCGTTGAAAGGCTCACCAGCCATGGCGTACGTCTCTGGCAACACTGCCACACCTGCCGCTGCCTCGTCACGTGACGTGTTAGGTTGTGGGGCCTTAACAATCAGAATAGAGTTTTGGGGTTTCTTTATTATATTGTCAGTATAATATACCCCTAAACCTTATTCGAATTATTAAGGCCCCTATGGGAGGGTTGAGGGTTGGCTGCACCTGGTTCATCCCCATGGACGAACTTAGAGTAGATCTGGGCCTTACAATGTCTATAGAGGAGGATGTTGGGCATAAGACTTCGCTGTTATGTTCATGTAGCCCAAGAGGTGTTTGCACAGATATCAGAGCCCGTGTTTTATACAGGTTCCCCAGAACACATGCAGAAGTCTTTCAGGCCTTCGATTCAAATCGGAACACTAATATCACCCTGCAGCACGTCTACGTCCCCACTGTACCCGCATATATGACGGTGTCTACTTAACACGACTGAGTAATGTGGAGGCCGGGACATTCCTTCTAGGAAAAGAAAGGCATGACGCATAGCTCGCCTGTGTTGAAGATCATTTGGGCCCTTAAGGTGTTCATTAGAAAAGGGTCTCCGCCCTTCTTGTTTTAAGCTTATTATGGGTTTTAGTCGGTTGGGTGTTTATGGTTTGAGAGTAAGACAACCTTCAGCTGGATAGGGGCCACGTGGCAACACTATTGCTACTAAATTGCTTGCTAAAATCCTCCATGTTAACCATCAGCGAGGTCAGAGAAGTCGCTGAAGGTGCTGCGGGACTACTCTGTGGATTCTCTCCCGGCCACTGGTTTGCAATAGCCTGCCTGCATGGAAGGTTCATTCAGAATACAAGGGATCCCGAATATAAACCCAGGATTCTGAAATCTTCTATAACCCTCTTGACAACCTGCTTAATGACTTTTCGAAGCCATAGATACCTTTTCAGAACCCGCCGAACCCTTCCAAATCAGGCTAAGGCGCCTGTGAGGTTTTGCGGGTTGGAACTCGTTTTTCAACACGTGTTGTGTAACGGCTGATGGTATAAATCCTGCATTACCTTAAAGACCATAGATTATAGACAATGTGAATTGGGAATTATGGTATATTCCTTAGTATGGCTCATGCGGGATCCATTATGTCATCAACCGAAGGATTCTGCAAGGGTTTGGGGTTTCGGCGGCTGCGAGGCTGTATTCACTAGCTCGAGTTTGTTACTTGTTCGGGGATTGCTTTCTTTCCCAGGGCTCTCCAGAAAAAGCAGTGTTTGCCTACCTGCCTGGAGGTTTTCTACCTTGACCTTGAATCTCACACCCTACTGAAACCGTGTGCCATACACCCTTGCTCTTAACCGGAAAACTAGAGCACCCGGCCGTACGTCCGAATCCAAAGTCACTCCCAAAGCCGTTGACCTAAACCCTCACCCTATGCTATGCATCCGTAACCGAAAATTAAAAGTCCTGTAAACACATGTAAAACCCTACAAAAGCAGACGATGGCAAGCCCTGAGAACCCGCTTACCCATTAGCCCTTATGGGACTTTCCGAACATTGGGGGTACCTTATTATGGGGCCCTTACAGCCAGGCTCCTACTATTTACGTAAGGTACTATACAAGGGTCCCTTATTTTCGGAAACTCACATATACGCCTCGTGCAGGTCCTTCATAAATCGTTGTGAAACTCTATAAGGCAGCTTAAAAGTGAAACCTCAGACCTTTTCACAAACTTTGATGCCTCAAACCCTGAAGCCCTAAACCCTAAAACCGTAAACCCCAAACTCGGTTGATGATATTATCGCGGCTCGTTCTCACCTGTCTGAGGCGACTGCTTCCCCTTTTTCGGTGGCTTGTACTCTACATGCTTTTGCCTCTTTATTTGCCCTTAACCTTGTGACCCTGAACCGTAAGTTTCAAGTCTTTCTTCCCTCTGAATCCCCGAGGAACTCATTGAGCGAAGGGATGCCAACAAGGCCAGTTTGGTTTTGGTACGCAAGGGTTAGAGGTGTAGGGCTCAGTTCCACAATCACTATATATATATATATATATATGTATGTATATAGAAATATATATATATATATATATATATATATATATTATAGGGCCTAAGTAATGACCAATACAATTTTGTGGGTTCCTTATTATAATTGTAGTATGACTGGCCCCAAAAACGCTATTCTAATTATCTGAATTATTAAGGCCGCTGCACTATACATATATATAGAAATATATATATATATATATATATATACACATATATATATATATATATATAGACATATATATATATATATATTTATGGATATCGGGTCTGGGTCTCTGGGTTTCAGGTATCGGGTCGGCGGTTTAGGGCTCTGGGTTTTCAGGGTTGCGGGGTTTAGGGTTTCGAAGGTTTAGTGTTCGGGGTTCAGGATTTGCGTCAAGGCTTTGGAGGTTTGTGGTCTAAAGTGCCGTAGGGCTTTCGTTTTAGGCTTCTTTTGTTCCTTCAGGGTTCTACAAGGTTTGGTTTGAAAGAGATTTGTAAGGGCCCATGTACCCAAGTAGTAGGGTTTGAAGTGCATGCAGGCGATAGCATCTGGTTCTTTGAGTGCTTGGAGCCCGAAGTTTGCTACAGTAAACAGGAACTACTTGGGGGTCTCCGGGTACCCTGGTATCCCAAAGCCAGTCTTCGTGATGCAGGTCTACCCTACCCGGCCCCAGCCCAAGGGTCTAGGGCTTGGGGCATAGAAAAGCTCATTTTGACATTTACCAACAAGACCCTTTTTGGAAAATGCAGGGTTTCTATATTCGGAAAGTATCCACCATAACAGTACTTAGGACCCTCTGCTCTAGTCATCGCAGCTTCTGTGGCGTCGGGAGTTAGATTTGGTACCCTCCGCGGCGCCAGTCGACCGACCGGCCCCTTCGAAGCTGACCTGAAGAGGGCATTTTGGGGGGTTCAGGGTTTAGGGTTTAGGTTTAGGGTTTAGGGTTCAGGGTTAGGGTTTAGGAGTGCATTTTGGGTTCAGGGTTTAGGTTTTATAGGGTTTGGGGTGCTTTTAGTTCAGTCAGGGGTTGGGGGCCGTTGGGGTTTAGGCTTACAGGGTTTATAGGGCTTACAGGGTTTAGGGTTTTAGGGTTTTGAGGGTTGCAAAGTGCTTTTGCAGGGCTACCATGGGGTTTAATGTAAGGAGAAGACCGTACCCTGAGGTTCCATGTACCTGTACTGGAGCTCTGAAACAAGGAGCCCTAAAGCCCAAGTCCGAAACCGCAGCGCTCTTAGCTTTATCTAAGAATAAGCCTTGGATGAAGGTAGGTGGGTACATGCAAAATAAGAGCCCACATATATAAAGGATCCTTAATCTTACCTACCTTCATCCCACCTTTTGAGGCCTCCAATAGGGTCAATGAAGCTACACAAGGCATTAAAGCACGGATCCTCGGGTTTGGGTTTAGGGTTTCATAGCAGCTGCCGCTCCCGAACCTCTCAGACACAATCCTACGCCCTAAGACCCTAAAGCCATAAGATTCTGAAGTCCTAAGACTTTGAACGCAGCCCTAAAGCCCGTAAGCCCCCAAGCCCCAAAGCCCTAAACCCTGAAGCCCTAGAGCCCTAAACCCTAAACTCGAGGCCCTAAGCCCTGAAGCCCTGAAGCCTAAACCCCAAAAGCCTAAACGCCCTTAGTTCTTCCCTGTGGCAGCTCCTGACCAAGCTCTCCCTTCCGAGCGCGGACGCCCACAAGGCACCGGTTTGGGTTTAGGGTTTAGGGCTTTGGGGTTGAGGGTTTAGGCTGAGGTGCTAGATATCGTTTCGGGATAGTATTGAATTTCCCTTAATATTATTGTTTATACAATATAGAGGCCTAAATATGAAAACAATTGGGGAAGGCTCTACCTGGAGTCTCTCCTGCATTGGGTTTTCCGCCTGGGCTTGTGTTACCTCCGAATATCGCCTGGCCCGTTGAGAAATCGCCTGGCCACTAAGAAATTGCCTAGAGGTGGTCGTTGTGCAATGCAAGAGCACTGCCTTGCAGGATAGGATGCATGAACGCTACGGAAAACCGTCTCAACACGTGGATCTGAAGTACCTGTAGCAACCGCTTCACTATTGCCCCCAACCCCTATTCTAACTACTACATAAGGCCCCGGCAGACACTATAGACCATATCAAGCTAACACTAATTGGCCTACTAACCGGCCACAAGAGATCAGCTGATGGATCGCGGCAACATCTTTTTCGGCTGCTCATCTGCACCTTGTCTGCAAAAGTGGGACAGGCCACTATCTTTGCACGTAGTGTCAGTTTGTCTATAAATTAATAAACCCTACGGAGTTCCCACAAACCTCAGCGGACACCCTCCCACTCGCACCAGAGCTTGACTAGATAACGTGCCATGGTTCTTTCGGTCGTGCTTCTAGCATGAACCTTTCTGCTGAGCCTCGCTATCCTCCCAACGAAATCTTCATCCTGTTCGCAGTTGGCGGCTGCGGGGGACAGTACGTAATCTGGTTTCCTAGCCAAGGCTCTCTTGATGTCGACATGAAAATGGCTCATGGCGTGAAGCGATGGCACTAGGTGGTACCTGGGCATGCCTTTGGCATGGCACAGCTTCGCAAGACGTGAGAAAGAGCTGGTGAAGCAAAACACACAGTTCCCCATCTCTCGAGCGACATCGCACGTATGCCACAACCCAAGACGATGCATCAAGTGGAAGAAACGAATCCCGGCTTCACAGGCTTGAGAGATGTTGGTCAAGAAAGGTAGGTGCCACTCTTCGAGTGGCTTCTGCAAGGGGCTCTGGAGTCGGCTGAAGGGGTCGATGGATTCAACATAGAAGCCTTTCTTCATTACATGCAACAGCCACCGAAGCAGCAGCATGCAATCCCCGCCTTTGAATCTTGCAGACGGGTACGACTCACGTTTAAACCAGTGCAGCATGTCTTTGGTGAAGTGCTTCAGGAATGGAACGTTTTTTCCAGTCCAGGTAAAGCGGGCCCAATGTGCAAAATCTGCATGCGCTCTGTTGAGGAGTTCTTCCATTCCTGAGCCTATGCCGGGCCAGTAGTTCAACTCGATCAACAAAACTACGGTGGATGCAATGAAATGACAGCCGATGTTTTGCTTAAACGTGTGGAATGGGTCTCGTTTGAGGACCCACTCAGGAGCCTCGGGAATGCCTGGGATGAGCACCAGTGCTCCAGGGTTTGCGTAGGGTCGGACTGTGTAAATGCTGGCTTCCCAAGAAGGATTCCTTCTACAATCCTCGAAAGGAAAACCTGGCTCCCCTGCTCGGCACTCGTAGCAAACCCCTTTGGCCTTACCCATGTGATTAAAACTTCGATTGAGGTTGGCCACCTTGTTGTGCATGGGAGCATCCGCTTTTATACCCAAGCACACCCCGTACAGTGGCTCCGGCCTGACTTGGATTCCTTCGTGCATGCATGCCACAACATCATCCTTGATGTAGGTCAGAAGCTTATGTAGCACGTCTTTTTTTTTGTAGAAACGCTTCGGGACAACTGCAAGCAAGAAGCGGGAGTTGTACGATGATCCTGTACCGTTATGTTGCTGGCTCTGGCTCATGATGCGGTACTCCATTTCAGCGCTCATTGCCTGACCATCATCTCGACACCGTGCACATGCCTCAGAAAACTTCGCGGCCGTAGCGGTGCCCACCACAAACTGAAGGCTGATGATGAGCACCCCGCTTTTGCGAAGACCCACTCCCTCATCAAGAAACAAGTAGTACGGCACGCATCGGCTGAGCCGGTCAGGATGGGTTTGGAAGATTGTGTGACTAGGAGCATGTGCTTTGAAGTTGCGCCAAAAGCAGGACATGACTAGC